AGTAATAAAAAAAAAAAAAAAAAAAAAAAAAAAATAACTTTAAAATTATTTAGCCCTAACCGAAACAACTTTAAACCTTTTGCTATCGTACATAATTTGATGTTAATAATTTTTTTTTTTTTTCAGGGTTGGACAACGTGAATAAATAAAAATGTCGAACAATATTATAACCAGTCCCAGGAATTCAATTGAAAAAACACGAAGAGCTATTCTTCGAATGAGAAATTGTTCACCTGAATTGAAAGATGTATTAAGACAGGTTTGTACTTAAATTTCATAATATTTTTAAAATACATAAGGTTCATTTGTATTTTATTTAAGGTTCGACAATTTTTGGCGCAATTTTTTCCTCAAATTACAGCCTAATTCATGTTATTAGATAATCTCGATATTTTTTAACGATAATGTCTAATAGTTTTCAATTTTTATGTATATTTTGTCTGTAAAAGTTATCTAATTTTAACGCAGAGTTTTTATCAAAAACAATACATTGCGTTATTAATCAATTTTTTTTTTAAATCAAAACTTTTTTTTTAGAGATGTCAAGAACGAATTCGTAATGAACGTTTCAAAATTTTAAATAATGTTAGGAAAATAGCTATGAAAGAAAATTTCAAAGTTGCATTCGGAAACATTATTCGAGAAGAATGGGAAAATATTGATGATAATGAACCCGTTAAAACACCAAACAGTAAATTAAAAAGTACAGATTTTAATTTAGATGAAGAATTAAAATTGGAAGAAATATTAGAAAAGGAATTATTGGAAGAACATGGTATGTTTCTTTATTTGCTTTATGACCCTCTAGTTTTAGTATTATATTTTTAAAATGATTTTATTTCTTGTTTAAGAGGAATGGTTAATAAATCAATATGAAGAACTGATAAAGTGCGATTTAGACAGTACAAATTCTGTAGTGTGTCCTCTATGTTGTTTGGGATATCTTAAAATTGCAAATGGTTTTGATATTGACAATAAAAAAATTGGGTGTAGTAAATGTTCAGAAACTTTCACCATCAATCAGAAATCATTACTTCACCTTCAATCAGCCATTTATGAGTGTTTGTCTTGGCATGATAAACAATGTTTAAGTTTTCCATGTTTTGTTAATGTTCCTAAAAACGATTATGAAAGTAATCTTTGTGTTATTTGTGATAATTGTTCTTTTTTAAATGTTGTCATGTGATTTTGGCTTTAAGTGTGTTCTTTTTATTTTCTTAATTTATTTACTAATTTTTTTTTTTAAACCATTGAAATAACTTTGTAATAATAATAATTGTAAAATATTTATAAAAAAAAATAAATTTGTAAATGTTAAAAATTTTTGTAAATATTATAAAGTATCAAAAGAGTATGGGCAACCATAATAGAAAAAATTGTTAATTTTTCTTTTGATGTATGTTCCATTGGTAAATTTTTGAGTTGTTTTCAACTAATTAGTGTCGAGAGTAAATGATTGTAAAATAAATAAATAAATTTAAATAGATCTATTACAAAATATATATATATTTTTTTAAAAAAATCGATTTAAAATACGCATATTATAAAACAATAAGTAAACAATTCAATAATTGATTCATTTTTTTTTTTTTAAATTTTACAAAGTTACATATTTATGCACATGATTAAAAAACTAAAAAAAATTTTTAAAACATAATCATCACATCCATATATATACATGTCCCAAATTGATTTAAACTTAAATATAATAATTGAGCAATTAGTAACAATATTATTTGTAACAATATCTGATACACGACGATTAAGATAAAATCATTATTTTAACATTTATTAATTTTAAATGTCAATTCGTTTAAAACGCCATCGCAAAAATTTTAATTTTTTCAAGCATTATGTCAATAAAAAAATTATTTATTTACGTATAAATTTTATTTACCAATATATATATATATATAAATTTTTTTATTATTGATTTAACAATTAACAAGAAACATAATAAGTACTCTTTTCTTTTTTTTTTTTTTTGTCGAATTTGAATTTAAAAAAAAAAAAAAAAAGTTTTAATTTTAAAATCAGTCTTAATTTGTTGTCATTATTTTCATATCAAAAATTTAATTATAAAAAAAAAATTAACAAAGTTTTTTACCTTTTGTTAATGACATTGTGTTTAAACTCTTCTTTTAATGTATGTATTTAAGATAATTTTTTTTTCTTTTTTTAATAATTATAATTATCAGTTAATTTCATTTTAAAAAGTTTACAAAATATTGACATATATATATATATATTTATAAAAATTTATATATAATAAAATGTAAAATATTTACAAAACTAGATAATGCATGTAAACTGCCATTTCTACTACTATTGCACTCAAAAAGCCCTCTTACGTCATTTAAAACTATACCATTTTAATATTTCATAATCTAGAATAAAAAATTTTTCTTTTCCAAAACGGTCAGACTCGATTTTTTTTTGTTAATTCTAGTTAGGAATGACTAGGGCTAGCCCACAAAGATTTTCGAGATCAACTAAAAGAGCTATTATTTAGTTTTCATTTTAGTCATTAACTCTTTTTCTTGGTAACTGCTGACTTGGCTTCTTCCGGCAATTTCGATGGATTTGATAAAATTTCTGTGGCCGTGCAGAGATTTCTTAACGAGTTTAAAACCACTAAAAAAAAAAAAAACATTATTTAATTGAAAAATATCATTCTATCGAAACTTGACTAATTCTTAATTAATTATTTATTTACCAGGTCTCAGTTCGACTAAAGAACAATGTTGTTCGACCCAAATTAACGTGGAACGATAAAGATCTTCGTAGCTTGCTGTTGACACTGAACAACTAAAAGATTGCAACAACGGTTCGAATAACAAACTAAACTATTTAAATAAAAGGTAAGGAAATAATTATTTATTTATTTATTTATTTTTTTTTAGATTAGGTTTCGTTTAAAAAGATACAATCCAAAACTTCCAATCCTCAAGAGTTCTAACTCTGACAAAATCATCAAACATTTCTTTCATTTTTGTTATTCTATGACGGGAAACGGGAGCTCCCGTCGCAGGCAGGAGGGACTGACAGTTACTTATAGATGTGCTCAGACTATCTATTTGATATTTGAGTGCTTCCATATCTTCTTGAACTTTCAATCTTTCTGCCTGAAGTTGACGTATGTATTCGGCTCCTTTCTGTAGCATCGTCGCTTTGCTGAGCTGTTTGACATACACAATAATTTACTTCTTCATTTAAATATAATAACAAATTATTATTATTATAAAGAATAATTACTTTTACGTTTGGATTAAGAGTGAGGTAAGGTATTAAAGAGTGTAAAACATCAAAACCATTTTTTATATTATATCTTCTTTTTTGTTCCGCATTTATGTGGCAAACCCGACGATATTCCTGTAAAATACGATTAAATTGTTTTTTAATTACTATAACCTCATATCGCACCTTATTAAAATCATTTTTAAAATTTACATTAGAACCGCTGGCAGCAGAATTTTGCGAATTGTCCGTTTTATTCGGCGATGTAGGCGATAATGTTTCCGATGATGACCCACTTAAATTATTTTGTGAAGTTTGATTTTGTACTGTAATGCAATCACTCTTATTTTCTGGACTAGATGAAGGTCTAATAGCACTAATGTAATTCTAAAAAAATTTGTAATTACTTAGAAAAGAAGAGTAATAATACTAATGACGACATAAAATTATTTATGCCTACCTGCAAAGTTGAAGAATTTGTTACGAGTAGAGTATTAGAATGGGGTAAGGGTAACAGTTTTTGTTGTAATCCTTTACACGGAGAAGGCATTATTGGTATATTTGTACTTTTAACGACAGGTTGAGTCCTATCCGATACGTTTGTTAAATTGTAGACAGAACTATCTGTGTAAAAAAAAAAAATTGTTTTTCTTTGTTAAAATTTTTTTTTTTTAAATTGGAAGCTGTTTTCCAAAAAAAAAAAAAAAAAAAAAAAAAAATTTTTTTTTTACTAGAAGTAAGAAGCTGCGCTAATAATGCATTTGAAATATTTAAAGCTGAATCACTGTTGGCTGTCGACAATGGCGAAGGCTTAGATTTAATCATAAGTAAAGAAGATCCACTTTTCGTTCGTTGGCGACTGTTTAGAGTCGTGGGCTGCGGCTGTAAAAAAAAATTTTTTATTTTACTTTATCCTAATTTTTTTAAATATTATTAATTTTTTTTTTTTTTTAAATAACTGATATGGTACGTATTAGCAAAAAAAAAAATATAATAAATAATTAAAAATAATTTTTAAAAATAAAAATACCTTAAACACGATTTGTTTTTGTTACTTTACATATTTAAAATATTTGATAAATAAATAATAATCTTTATTGACCTTTGGTACTGCAAACGTTTCTGGTTTATTCATCACGGGTAGACTAGTCGATCTCACTGGATCCTTCATCATTTTCAATGCAACAGACATTTCGGGAAGTAGGGATTCTTGAGGAGTTACGGCCAAATCGTAATCCTGTTGAATTCGATTATATTGGTTAGATAACGAACAAGCTGGAGAAATTTTTTGATATTGAGTTTGTTTAAAAGTAGTCTTGGAATTTCCAATCGGCATTTTAAATGGCTGCTGTTGAACTTTATTATTTGTAAATGAACTTTCTTGCTGAGAACTTTCTGCATCGTATTTATAAGGTCTAACGGTAATGGGTTGAGCATTAACTTTGGAAGAAGTCGGGTGGACATTTTCTGCATTGACATACGATTGAGCGGAAGTAGGATTGGTCAAATCGGTTTGATATGTTAACTGAGGAGATCTAATTTTATCTTCGAAGAAGCCATCAGTAGGCTTGGCTTCACTAGGTTCTCCTTCTGATGATAGGGTTTCATTATAATGAACGACAGTTTGAAAATCCGATTGAGTAGATGTCGAAGCTTCTGTTTCTACCACGGGTAAACCAGAAGTTTGAGTTTCCAAAGTTAGATCTGGAAAGGGTTGTGTTGATCTAAAAGTTAATTCGGAAACGGCGCAGTCCTCAGGAACGGGAGCTAATTTCGATGAAAATACTTCTACAATAATCGTATATTACAATGTAATTACGTCTGGTAGTAATTAAGAACGTGAAACAAACTTTTACGCATCGTAATAATGTACCTTGGAAAGGTTCCAACGCGTCCATAAAATCATCTAAATTTGGTTGAAGTTGAACAAGACTGGGTTGAATAAAATCGGCTATATTTGTACCTTTGGCTGCAAGTACAAAAAGGCCAAAAAAACATTTAAAAATATAATAAAATCTTCTTATATTTTTAACTTTCAATACTTTTTACAAACCTATTTCTCTAGTATCAGGAAAAGCAAAAGGCTGAATAGAAGAAATTGTAGAAAAAAGAGTATCACTCATCAATTCCATATAATCTTCGTCCACCATCATAGGCCCAAATTGACTGCTGTCGGTACTCTGACTTTGCCAATCGAACATATCCATATCGGATATCTATGAAAGAAAAAAAACAATATTTTTTAAATTTATTTCATGTCATAATTTTTTTAACTCAGATGAAAAATAATTTTTTGATAGCTTACAGAAACATCTTTGATGGCCCATCCCATGATTTTGTTTCGATAAAACATTCGCCATCTTTTATATTCGGCCGTTACAGCAGCTAATTTTCGTTTCCAATATTTTCCTTCTAAAACTACGGCCTGAAAAAAACAAAATATTTTTTAGAAAAATTTAACAAGATCAAATCGTAAGTTTAAAAATAATTAAAATTTTATTTTCGTTTTGAAAAGTTTTTTTTGTACTTGCCTCAGGTTTATTGTGTGTACTTTCATCCAGAGGTGATGCAAATTGACAAATAAGAGTGTTTTCTTTTTTTATAACTGTAAAAAGAAAAATTAAATGTAAAACCATACGTAATTGAGTACACAAAGATTATATTCTTTTCCCTTCGAGTAAATAAAGTACATTTATTGAACGTAGACATTTAAATACAACGACAATAACATTCCGTGATGTTTCCCAAAAACAATTTAAAAATAAATAACTGAATTAAATATTAAAGAGAGCGGGGCCATATCTGTTCATATTTTTTTTTTTTTTAATTTTTCAGTGACGGTTTCAAATATTTGTGTGAGGAGGGGAAACGCCTGAAACATAAATTGCACAATAATTGTAAAAAGAAATTTTTTCGAATGCGGAAAAACATTTCAATATATTTATATTTTTATAATTTAAATACTCACACTGCATGTGCCAACATCTCCAAATAACATTATTTAATCTTATTTTATCTTTCCATCTGAGTCTAATACCCTTAAATCGATTCCATTTTGGTGAGGTGAGCTTCTGCCTGGAATCAATTAAATTCATTTTAATTACAATTTATTTTAGTCTTTAAATTTAAAAAAAAATTACCCAAACATAAATAAATTAAATATCTTTGCTACGCCAGTCAATATTAAAAGAAAAACTATCAAAAATTGATTTTATTTTTTTTATTTTTATTTTTTTTTTGAAATCAAAGAAACCATAAAAAATTAATTAAAACATTTAAATTAAAATTTAAATTTTATTGTAAATTGTGCCTTTTAAAGTAATTCGATCGATGAATTACATATAATAAATATTTTTTTAAATTACTTGTTATTCAAATAACTCCAAAATAAACTTTATGTGCAATAAATTCTTATTAAATAATTTTTTTAAAGACTTTAAATATATTTTAAGTATTACTAGATATTATCACTATCAAAATTTATGTATTCAATTATATATATATATTATTAACAAGTTTTTAAAAATAATATTAAAAAATAAAAAAAATTTACGTAATGAATTATTAAATAACATAAGTTTATTATTAAATCGTTAAAAAAGATAAACAAAATATAAAATTCGTTTCATTTTTTTGATTTCAAAGTACTAAATATATATTTACTAATAATAATAATAATAAAATTATTCTCTTATTTTAAATTTCTCGCCTTTTAAATTCGATCATAATTAAATATTTAAAAAAAAAAAAAAAAAAAAAAAGTTACATAATCTCATTTATTGAAGGAAATACGAACAAATTCCACGTTAGGCCAATGTTGAGATTACGATTATTTACATTCATCACAATATGTGCAATCTAGGAAATTAAGCTACGAAAAAATTAATTTTTTTTTTTTTGTTTCGGGGGGAGGGGGGGGGAATAAATTTTTAATAAATAAAAATAATTAATTGAAAATTATTATTATCATGTAATATTCACACAAAAGCCGTAATTTTGTAAACATCGACAAGTAATTGATTGAATCGTTTTCTTTTTCTAAAATGAATAGATTTTGAAACGTTAAAAATTTTAATTAATTCTAGCTTGTATGAAATAATTTTTAAAAAAAATATTAATTAATGTTTTTAAATATTCTGAACTAGTGAAATTTAATAAAAAATGAATTGAAATATAAAATTTATTTAAAAATATCATTGGATGATTATGTCCATGTGAATAAGTAATTCTTAAAATAAATTTTCATTTCTGAACTAAGCTGACTAAATTTTAAAAATTAGTATTATTGTTTGAAAATTATAGTAATTATTAGATTTAAAAAAAAAAAAAAATTAAAATAGACAAACTATAAGTAATTAATGAATAACTTTAGTGAAATTTCTAGAATTTGTTTAATTGATTTTTAAATAATTCTTTTTGAAATTTTTCAATAAATATTCAAATATTCAAAAAAATGAAATAATAAATTAATTAGTATTCAATTAAAATTTTAAACAAATTTCAGAAACCAAATTTTATGTACATGACTTAATTTAAAAAAAAAAAAAAGAAAAATTATTTTAAATTATGAGTTTAGTATAAACTGCAAAGATTACAATGTAATTTTATATATAATATGTAATTAATTTTTTTAAAAGTAAAAAAAAAAAAAAGGCAAATGATTTTAAATTTCGGTTAGTTTTTAGCTATGAAACAGATAATAATATGTTCAAAATATTTTACACATTCATAAAAGTCTCTCTTTTTTATTCCTAAATAACAAATTAATATTTTCTATTTAATTTGATTAATTAAAATCCATTAAAATTCATAAGGTAATTATTATGTAAAAAAAAAAAAAAGTTTTTATCTATAAATTTAACAAAAAATTAACAATAATTATTAAGTTTATGTCTTGGTTTCATAATTTTATTACTAGTTCTAAAAAGTAATACTAAAGTCTAATATATATAATTTTTTTTTTTTTTAAATAAACTATTTTAGTAATTTCATTTTAGTTAAGGGAATACTCTTTTAAATAAATTATAGTTAAGGAGCTAAGTTTGAAACATATTAATACATACATTGTTTTATTAATGTTATTGCATTCAAAACAATAATTTTAAGGAAAAAAACCAACGGTCGTACCTGTAAGCCAAGGACATACACTGAAACAACTTTGTAAGGGATGTTTCAATAGCAAGTTGACCCGAGGAAGTTGTAATGTGAGGTTTATTTACGTTAAAAACTTGTAAATCATTATTTTGTGGAGTATTTGAATCCATATATCTCATTTCAGGAACTGGTACCGCGACTTCATATTCATCATCTTGAGCTTCTGCTTCAAAGTGCGATACCATAAAATGACCTGAATGAATAACTTCCTTTTCCATTTTTAATGTTTTTGAATCACTTTTGGAAGTTAATAATGGTATGTCGGGATATCTCATTTCGTGACACTGCATTCTACCACTTAATATCACTTCTTAAAACTTTTAGAACCAACACCATTAACGCCAACGACCTTTACCTCCGCCATTCAAATAACGTGACGTAGAAGTTTCAAAACAACTTATTAACCATTCATATTTAAGAAAGAGTAAATTTATTTTTGAATTAAAGCAAAAAGGTTTTTAAAAATTCGTCTTGTTGAATTCGAGTTTTTGAAAACAACATATATATATATATATATATATATTTTTTTTTTTATTTTAATTTAATTTTCATGGCAGGATTAGTCGCAGATTATGAATCAGATAGTAATTCCGAGGAATCAAACGAGTAAATAAACTATTTATTATATTTTAAAAATTTAATTTTTGTACTAGGTGATAAATAATTTAAAATAAATTTTAATTTTTTATTTTATTCAAGTGACAATAATGTAAATATATCTGAAACACCGTTGCCTAAACCGAAATTTGTGACTGGTTACAATAAAACAAGTAATGAACGTTCTGTATTCGTTAATCCATTTATTGAAGCAGATGAAGCAAAAAAGGCTATCTTAGAAAAACACGTTAAAATGATATCAACAGATGTAAAAATTGTAAACGGTAAAAAAATATGTTGGAACTATCGTAAAAATAAGTGTAGATTTGGACATAACTGCAAGTATGCTCACGATTCAGATTTACAAATTGAAAAATCAAATATTGTTCCTAATAAAAATTCTGTTAAAGAAATAGGTATTAATGAAATAGAAGTTAAAAATTCAAATAATAAAACTAATAAGCATAAACTTTCTAGTACAACCCTTGATTGCATTCACTCGAAAAAAATAACAAAATTTTGTAGTCAGAGCAAAGAATTAACTTAATTTCTTTAAAAATAAAAGTAAAATTAATATTTGTTTTCAACAAAAAAAAAAAAAAAAAACATAGTTTAAAATCGTGTACATATTTTATTTAGTTAATAATTTATAAATTATATATATATTTATTTACATTTAGAATTTTTTTTCTAAATTATTATTATTATTATTTTTATTTGAATTAATAATTATGCATATTATTAATACAAATAAAAATTAAAAAATTGTAAGTACTGTACATAATAATTAAAAAATTATCATTATAAAAATATTACATTTTTTTTTTTTTTTTTTACAAAATAAGTAATGCAATTATGTAACTTAATATAAATTATGTTTTATTATGAAATTGTAAAAATTTACACCTTTAAAAATATTGTGAAAATAATAACAGTTAACAAGAAGCTAAACCATTATTATTAAGAAGTTAAGTTTTTTTAATAGTAAAAAGAATTTATTCAATTTATTTAATATGAAAGAAATTTGGTTTTTGAATACTTGCAAAATTGCAAAAAAATTACTGATAGTATTTATATTATCATTGTAATTTCAATAAATCTGTTCTTTTATGAGGGCTGATAAAACAAATTAAATTAAAATCCAGTTTATTTTAACTGCAGCAAGTTTGAGGAGTTGGATCTATACCAGATCTCTTTGTTACTACAAGCTTAGTAAATTCTTCTGAAATAGTTGGATGTATTCCTACAGTTGCTATTAACTGATCCATGGTAAATTTACATCTGAAATTACATTGTCTTCAGCATTTTAATAATTAGTCTCATGCAAAGTTGTAAAGTATTCACATTAAACGGAAATTGTTTACGCAACACTTACTTCATGGCTGCCGCATAACCTTGAATAATTTCTCCTGCCGAAGGCCCAACAAAATGCATTCCAAGAACTAGTTTAGGATCGTTTCTCATAGTAACAACTTTTAAGTAGCACTGTGCAGCAGATTTATCAGGTATAAAAAACTCAGTTGGCTTATAAAATGTGTGATAAACCTACAATCAACAATGCTTAATATAATATTATTAATTTTTTCAAAATTTAAAAACCAATTTAAGCAATATACTTCAATATTTGCTTCCCCAAATTTTTCTATAGCTTTTTCTTCACTGAGTCCAACACAACCATATTCTAAAGGGCAAAATATTGTAGTTGCAATATTTTCATAGTTCATGTATTCATTTGAATTGCCAAACAGCCTTTTTGCTAATAATTTCCCTGCTTCTATTGCTACAGGAGTTAACTCAGGTTTTCCATGTAAAACATCACCGACAGCATAAATATTAGGAATATTAGTTCTTTCATTTTCAGCTATAATTTTTCCACTTTCTTTATCAATTTTTACACCTATTGCTTGTAAATTCAAGCCTTCTGTTGAGGTTTTCCTTCCGATTGCAAATAATACATTATCAAAATTTTCATTTTTAATTTGATCATTTTTTGAATTTTTATATGTTACAGTTAAATTTTTATTATTTTTTTCAATTTTAACAGGCAATGTTTCTTTTAAAAAAGTAACTCCTCTATCTGACAAATTTTTTTCAATTAAATGAGCCATTTGTTGGTCAAAGTTTCTCAGTGTGACTGAACGAACCATAACTGTGACTGGAAATTTAAAAGAGTTTAGAAAACCAGCACATTCCAGAGCAATATCTAAAATATTATTAAGAAAAATACAAAAGATTCTCTTTAAACATTTGTTTTGTAACTATCAATTTCATTTTTGTCAAAGGATACAGCCTGCACCAACAACTAATACTTTTCCTGGAGCTGATGGTAAATTAAAAATATCATCACTTGAAATACCATATTCCACTGCACCAGGAATATCAGGGTATTTGGGTCTTCCTCCAACAGCAATTAGTATATTTTTTCCATAAATATTTTTAGAATCAGTTTTTGTTGTTACTTCTATAGTGTTTTTATCAATGAACTTTCCTATACCATTAATATATTCAATTTTATTTTCTTTCAAAATAACTCTAGTAACCCAATTCACTGATTTTATGTGATTTTGAATAGCTTGTTTTAACCTTTCCCAATCAATTTTAACCTTGTCTAAGTCATTGATAACCCATCCATAAGCAGCAGCATCCTAAATTAATTTTATTTTTAAATAAACATTTAAAATTTTAAATTGTAAATTTAATGATGAAACTTACTTGAATTGCTTCTCCAAGTAATGCTGCTTGGTGCATCAATTTTTTGGGAATGCATCCCACATTAACACAAGTCCCTCCCATTCCCCAAGTGTTACCTTTCGGTGATGGAGTAACATAATCTATAAGACAAACTGAGGCTCCCAAAGTACTCGCTTGTTTTGCACAAGCTAAACCCCCTGATCCTCCTCCAATGACAATCAAATCAAACTTATCTTCTAAAAAAATATTATTTTAAAGTGACAAATTTTTTTTTGTTATGACTGAAGTCCTCTTTTTTTTTTATTTTAAGAGAGTTATAAGGTATAAATAATAATATTTTTTGAGGAAAAAAAACCGAAAAAAGTTACTATAACTATATTCAAATAAATTGTATTATTCAAAGGGTATAAAAATTTCATCGAAATGAACTTAGATTTTAAATTTATATAAATTAAAAAAAAAAAAATACAAACCTTTAGAATTTAATGAATTACTAAAAAGCCTAATCAAAAAGTTTTTTAAATTTATTTTATCTTTTTTTTTTATGGTAACGTATTTAAAAGACGAAACAAACGTTTTTTGACTTTTTAATAAACCTATGTAAGCCATTTGTTTACAAACAAACAAAGTTCTGGGAAAAGGGCCTAGTAGTGAATAGGGCCGTGATAATTAATGTCTAAACATTTTAATATTCTGTAAGGCAACAAAATGTTTGTTTACTTTAAATTACATAATCACCCTTTAAACAAATTTTACACAGTTTGGTATATTTATTAATATAAACCTACATTTTAAATGTGAGTTCAAATAAATTAATTAAAACTCTTATTTTAAAATTATAAATTATTATTGGCAATCATTGAAATTAATTTTAGGGAGCAAATGATTATTTTTGTATACGATACTGATTATTGTCAAACAGAAGCTGATGATCCACAGAAAGCTGTCCTGTTTTTTTATCCCCAATGGGTTAGCGATCAACAGCGATTAGCACTTTGCGGTCAATTAATGGGAGCTGCTCATTTTTGCTCTACAATATTTTTCAATCCAAAGATTTTAACATTGCAATGTGGAAAATTTGTATTTAAAAAATTTGGGCGTTATATAATGGTACTAAATAAAAATTATTATTTTGTTATTTATTTTTTTTTTTGTAACTCTTACAAATGCAAAAAATTTATATTTTGAAATAATTTTTAGAGTGTTGGCTCTGATCAAACTCTTCCTGAATGGATATTACAAGAAAGATTCAACACTTTAGAATTTCTTTTTCAATTTTATCATAAAAGTTTTGATTATATTTTTAATTTAGCTAATCGTGATCAAGAAATATTTTCAAAAAAACTCAATGAAATTTTAGGAATTTATATTCCAATTCTCCAATGTGTTGTTTGTGCTTTTGGAAATGTATATATTGTGCAATGTCCGAAAAAAAATAGTTCTGCATTTTTAGAAGCATTTCAGTTATTAGAAGCATGTTGTAATTTTAAAGGGGTTATAGGAGGTGTAATTTTGCATAACAATAGGTGAGTTACATAATGTTTCGTTTAATTATTTCCATTTATTTATATCAAGTATTATTAATAACTTTTTTTCGGACCACTTAAAAAAACAAAAATATTATATCTATCTATATCTATTTATAAAAAAAAATGTATATTTTTAACTGCAATTCATATTAAAATTATTGATTTAATACTAAAATTTCTTTTTTCAAGAGTCATTGCTACACAACTTGATCCGAACATAACAAAATTATTAGCACTGACTAATAAAATTAGGGCTAAAGTAAGTAAAAATTTATAATAATTAATTTTTTGTAATGTAAAAGTGAAAATAAAAAATTGATTTTTTTTTGTTTAGTCATGTGCAGAAACAATTCCAACATCTTTTCATTTACCAGAGGGTGTTGAACTTGTTAAAATTTATTTAAATAAAAATTTTTATGAATCTTTAATTGGAGTATCTAATTTCAAATGGGCTGTTTATAATGGAGTTCACAAGAAACTATTACAAAAAGTAAAATTTTTTAACATTGTAATTTTAAAGTAGTAGTAATTTGAAAAGTGTGAAAATATGTTGTTTATTACATTTCTCTTATTTTCTTTTTGATTTCAGACGACTAAAATACAAATGTCGAATAAAGATTCTCATAAAATATTTACAGTGCAAGAAGAAGGAGATGCGAATATGGAAATTTCAAATCAACCACAAACAAATTATAAATTTTTTAACAAGGAAAATAACCAATTTAGATTTCATAAGTCTAAACCTAAAATAGAAAATAAAGTATTAAAAGAAAGATCTAAAAGTTTTGTGGGAGGTTTAAACATGAAAGTATGTTCCACGCCAACAGTTGAAAAAACATTAATCCATGATGATTTAGTATCAATATGTAATAACAGTATAAATGAATCGAAAGCTGCCATTCCCCAAAGTTTAATGCCAGAAATTGTTCAAAATGCAATATCTTCCAAATTTAGAAATAGAATTTTATCATCGAAAAAATATTTTCATAATCAATTTTTTAGAATTAGTATGGATGATTTGATGATGGATTTTACCAATAAGCGTTATCCTACGCCCTTGAAATATTTTAATTTCGGTTTACCAAAATCATATAGAGAAGTTGGAATGGAAACGGATGAGAGAAAAAGTAGATATAAAATAAGGAAAAAAAATTTTTATAAAACAATAGCAGATCCGAAAAATCCCGTGTTTCGATATGACGGCGTATCTTTATCAAAATCATTGTACAATACTTATTTAGATGAACATTACAAAGATTATGCCGTGGCCAATATAACTATTGATTCAAGAGAGGAATTTTTAAAAAGTAAACAACGCTTAGAATATGAAAATAAAAAACCCAAGACTGATCTCGTATCAAAAACCAATGGAAACATCGTTGAAAATAGGCTAAATGATAATGAATTAAAAATAAATAATAAAGAAAATCATACTAAAATACCCATAGCGAGTAAAAATGAATTAACAAAAGTTAACCAAAAAGCATTTAGAAGATCTCTTTCTCTACCATTGAAACCTCTTTCTTATGGTGCAACAGAAAACATGTCTCCTAACACTGGATCATCAAAAAATAAAGTTTTATTTAACAGAACACCAACAACTCCTTTAACTACTAAATTAGGTCTTCTTACTTTTGGTGATCAACCATTAGGTAAATAAAAAAAAACTAAGCCTAAAAAAAAATAACAATTTTAAATGAAGTTGACTAATCAAAATTAAATAATTTTTTTTTTTCTTTTAGAATTAAAAACTTTGGCAACTCCCAACGATAATAATTTTATGATAAAAAATATATGTTCAAATCAAAATACTTGTGATGACATAAATAAAAAAAATGAAGTAATTTCAACAAGTTTGTTTGTTTGCAGTCAACAAAATATGACCATGATGTTGATATTGGATGAAGGCTTAGAAAAAAATCCTGATTTAATTCAATCACTAGTCAGTCAGATTATTTTTTCACATCAAACTTTAAATAAATATTTAAATATTTACCTTTTTTTGTTTTAATTGCAGTGGGAAATGAGTTCACCGTCATTAAAAAAAGTTGAATTTTTACATAATAAAAGTTCAGGGAATTTATCAAACGGAAGTAATAACGGTAGTATTTTTAATAATAATAATAATTCACCGTACAGTTTTCTTCTGCTGGATAATTCTTGGGGTACAATTCAAAGATCTGGTACTTGGACGGATGAAGAACTTAAAGTTGTCGGTTCATTAAATAATGATTTAAATAAATCATCAAATATAACAGAAATGATTTTTAGGTATTTACATTCCTCTAACCATTTTCTTTTTTCCATTTTCATTTTATTTTATAAATTATTATTATTTTTTTTAGAAACGAAGAGTCTGTAGTTTATGGTTATTGTTGCGGAGGAACAAAAATTTTTTATCAGCAAAGTGGTTGTGCCAGTGCTGGGCTTCCAACTCCCGCAGATTTAATGGGTGTTGTAAATTTAAAGGCAAAAAGACAATTAGAAAGAGATAGAGATGTTATTATTCTTTAATAATTTTTTCCCATGTTTTCCCCTTTATTTTTCGTATTATCATTAGTTACTCATTGCTTAAAGCAAATTATTTAATATTATCGAGAAAGTACAAAGGTAGAATTATTTTACTCTTAAATAGAGTGTCTAGTCCTCCTTAAAAAAATAATTTTAAAAAAAATTGAAGAAATAAAAGAAAAGTTTTTTTTTATTACGTATTTATAACATTTGATACAAAATTAATTTAATAGGCGAAAAATATTTACAAATTATTTAATATATACAATCAATGATGCTTATGTTAATGATGGTAAAGAAGAATGAAGTTCTTCCACGTCAAATATCACTTCTCTTTTCTTCAATTCGTCATCTTTTTTCGCTGTAATTATGTGTATTAAGAAAAATATTTTTGTTTTCCCGAAATTTAATTTACGTTAAAATATTATTATCATTATTTTTTTTTTTTTTTGGTATTTATCAATTAATTTACTAAAAGTATTTTATATATAATTTTTGTTATTTTTAATTGTTAATAAACGAATAAAATGGCTTTTATATAATTGAATAAAAGGATATTTGTATAACAGTTTGAACAATCCTGTGCCGACCGATACGGGTAGGCCCATGATGATGGATTCGCTTACTCCCGTAATCGCATCCGTTTGTCCATAATATGCTGCATCGAATAAATGATCTGCTGTTCGTTCGAACTGAAAAAAATTAATTTACAACATGAAACCTTATTAAATAAAAAAAAATTGTGGGAAAAAAAAACAAAAAAAAAAATTGAAGCAAGATATACCGATGCGAGATTTAAAACGGATTCTTTCATTTTAACCAAACCGTGCCTGGTTATACCGAGAACCTCTCCTCGACTTGTCATCAAATCGGCCAAAAGCATTATATGTCTTCGATCGATACTCATACCGTGATTTTCCATAACCATTTTTATTTCGGAAATTATTGTTTGCCTGGAAAATTCAAACATTTTAAACTAACAATTTTTAATTTAAAAAAAAAATTTTACGTAAAAATACCTCGCAGCTTCTATGCCCAAATACGTAAAAACTTCGAAAATATTATTAGATGTTGTTTTGGTACCCAAAACTCCGTTGGTAGCCATAACTTCACCTAAATTGTAGCCTTCGACAAACAATTTGTATTTTGTTCCACCCTTGCTGTCATCGTGATGTATGACGGCTCTGTTCACAGCGCTCAGACCTTTTATCACGATATTCGGAAGACTTTTTTTTAGGGATTGGAGTACGTAATTAATACGATCCGCGTTTTTTGTTTTGATCGGAGTCACTTTTAAAATGGTGTCACTCACAACCTCGACGTTAACTTTAAGCCTAGCCGTGCATAAAGTGTATTTAATCGAATTGGCATCCACTTCTAATTTAAGAAGTTTTATTCGGTCGACATCTAATTTAACTATTATGAAAAAATCATCTGGAAAAGGGATCGTGAGATGAATAATCTCCTTTAATTTCAATTTTTTTTTTAAAAGTAGTAGTAGTAGTAGTTATTTTTCTTACCAGGCAAAAATACTTCTTCTATATATTCCGATATTTCACCCAATGTCGTTTTTTCAATTCTTCCCTTTACTCTTCGAGCAAATTCAGCATCTGAATCATTTTCTAAATATGCTGTTATTATTGGAGTGCTGATTTTTTTACTGGCATTAATTATTTCTTTTATGCGGGGAACTCCTTGAGTGATGTTCATTGAAGCCACACCGGCAAAATGAAAAGTTTTTAAAGTCATTTGAGTACCTGGCTCGCCGATACTTTGAGCTGCTAAAGCTCCAACAGCTGTCCCAGCTTCGACTTTGGCTCTTAAATATTTTTTTCTGCAAATTTGAAAAAATTCCACGATTTGACTGACGGTCAAACGCTCGATTTGTATTATTGCTTTCGGAATGTCTGATAGGTTCCTTTCGTTATATCCGAATTTTTGTCTCGTTAACGCCATTTTTCGAACTATTCCGCTCATGAAATTTTTTAAATCGAATTTAAATACGTCGTCACAAACTCCGAATTCTTCCGTGTTTAGCAATTCATCGGTTGCTTTTTCAACGCTGATTGAATCTAACGCCTCTTCCTCTCTGTAAGGATATTTTGCTCTGATGTGATCCAAAGTTCGTTGAAAATTCACCGGGCAATCCTTTCCTTCCATGTAAGTTGGATCTAGTCCGTCACCTCCGTAGTTAAATTGAATAATCTCTCCCATGGAGTTTCTAACCGTCATATCATATTGAACGCACAAATCTTCTAATGCCTTAACCAAACGTCGTTGCATGTAACCAGTTTCAGCGGTTTTTACTGCAGTATCGACTAATCCCTCTCGCCCTCCCATTGTATGAAAAAAAAACTCCGTAGGTGTAAGGGAAGAATAAAAACTGTTTTCTACAAAACCTTTAGCAGCCGGTATTTTAGCTAAAATAAATAAAAGAATTTAAAAAAGCTTCTAACTATTTTAATAATATCAAACTTGAATCTATTTTTTTTTGACTTACTGTATCTTTCGAATTGCGGTAGTGCTCTATTTTCAAATTTGTCAGGAACACGCTTTCCACTTATAGCTTGTTGACCTACGCAGGCTATCATTTGAGAAATGTTAATAAATGACCCTTTCGATCCGCACAATGCCATGATAAGCGGACTGTTACTAGAATGAAGCTCTTGAAGACAAGCTTTACCAGCATGATCCCTGATAACTGATAATTCTTTAAGTATAACGGCTTCTAATGTTTCATCAATAGTACAGCCAGGTTGGCACGGTAATTTTCCCGCTTCCATTGCTTTAATGTACTCTACACATTTTGAGTACCTGTAAAAATTTGCACGTAAGATGTCGGATATACATTAATGTAATTTTAATTGATAAATTTTGCTAACCCAGCGTTTAATAATTTTTCCTTGGCTCTTAAAAGCCCGACTCCAGGAGTAACGTCTCCCAGCCCAATGGAAAAGCCTCTATTCATCAAAAACCAAGATGCTATTCTAGCCAATCTCCACATGACAGTTGCAGCTGCATCTTCTCCCCAATCTCGTAAGAGAATATACAGGATATTGTCTTTTGATCCTGAACCTAATGTTCCTTTATCCATTGTTCCGGCTAATAACACGGAATTTCTAATTAAAACAAATGAATCATTAACGCACATCTCCTCCCGCGAAGTATAAGCTTTTCCTTTAGTTCTTAAATTACAAACTATTTTACATTTTTTATTCGGTTTTAAAATAACACTGAAAATTTGTTTCGCTGTCCACAACCGCATGGGCTTTATAATAGCTGGTGGTGGGAGATCAATATGTAGATTTGCATCTTTTCCAGCTAAAATACAAGCCAATAACCAATTGGCTTTAGCTTGAGTGAAAAAAGTATTTTTTTGTGTTAATAAATATGCGCCTGTGATAAAATCTTGAGTGGCAGCAATTAACAGTTCTCCATTCCTAGGAGTTGCTAAATTTGCTTTATTACTCATTAACACAAGAGCTTCTGCTTTAGCCTCAAGGGTTTGAGGTAAATGTAAATTCATTTCATCCCCATCAAAATCAGCATTATACGGCGTACAAACGCATTCATTAAAACGAAAAGTTCTGTGCTTAAGAACTTTAGCCCGATGAGCCATAATACTGAGTTTATGTAAACTTGGTTGACGATTAAATAGCACAATATCATCATCTATCAAATGACGCTCGACAACATCTCCAAATTTAAGTTCTGATGATATTTTACTTCTATTACCGTAACGCAAATACCGTTTACTATTTCCATTGCGATCTTCCACAAAATTAGCCCCAGGATGGGTGTCAGGTCCGTTTCTCACTAATTCTCGTAATAAAAAAATATTTGCCCTATTAACTTTTTCTGGAAATGTTAATATTTTTGCAACATGTTCAGGAACACCTACTTGATCAATTTGAAGATTTGGGTCTGGTGATATTACTGTTCTACTTGAAAAATCCACTCGTTTTCCAGAAAGATTCCCTCGAAATCGACCTTGTTTTCCTTTAAGCCTTTGAACTAATCCTCTTGTAGCTTTTTTGGGTTGCATACTAAGAGGTATACCTGTGGTTTCACTATTAATATATAATGCACAATGAAGTTGTAAAAAATCCCAATCTTCATTTATCATATGAACTTTTGCTCCTGATTGTCTATGTTTTTGAATGACATCATTAATAAAAATTATTTCAGATAGTTTCATTGTTAAATCATCTTCATTTGTACCAGATTTAAGTTCTGAAATCACAGATGGACGAACACATAAAGGAGGAACTGGCAATCTTGTAAGCATTAAATCTCTAGGATGTACCATTGCTGGATTCATGCATAGCAGACAAACATCGTCTTCAGGTATTCTCTCCAACAAATTCAAAACATCTAAAGGAGTTAAGATAAATGCTACACCACTTGCAATCACACTTTCTAATTCTCTATCATATTCTAAAACATTGTTGTAAGCCTGAATATGTTTAGCCATCAAAGCATCTGTGGTAGATTTGCTTCCCCTGAATTTTTCATGAACTAATTTTAACAATCCACATTTTTTGACAACTCCATTAAGACTTTGACAATAAGGGCAAATTGAAATTTTTTTTGCTTTTTCATGTATTTGCTTTCTTAATGCTTTTCTAGCTAAATATAAAAATTTAGGATTTTGTAGCCTTAACCTATATGTTTTTTTCAAATCCTCTGGAAGTAAAACTTTAGAGCAGGTCTAAAACAGAAAATTTTTACAATTTGTCATATTTTCGATAAGTTGTTTGAACGCCACTTGCATGAAAAATAATATTACCTTGCATATTGTCTGTAGTATCATGATGACAGATCGAAAGTAACCAATATGAAATACAGGTAGTTCTAGATTTATGTAACCAAAATGACCTATACAATCTGCCAAACCTTTGTTACAAGTTGTGCAAGTTGCATCTTTAGTATTGGTTCCCATTTGCCTGTCCAATACTCCATAAGCAACAGGTGTTCTGGGAGCATCTTGATTGTAAAGATTTTTACCAACCACATGAATATGAGCTTGTTGCTGAATGACTTCGGGGCTGTCTACTCCAAAACAAACATGTGATCTAAAATGTCATAAAACAAAAAAATAAATTTTTCGAAGTCGGCATTAAATTACAATTTTATTACAAAAACTCTAATCAACTCACATCATTTTGGCTATATTAGTTTCTCTATACTGTTCTTTAACCATTTTGAATGTCTTAAATCAATTCACGGAGGGGCAGAAAAAATAATTTAATAAGTATTTTACAAAAATCTATAAATTTTTTTTGCAGTTTTTTAAAAGTAATTTCATCTATTTGTACATTGTATTTATATAAGTGTAATGTGCAAGAAATTCTTATAATATTTTTATTGAATTCTAACTGATACGTAATGCTATTAATGTAACACTTTTTACTGAATTATATCGTAATAAAAATTTCCGGTTCATAAAAAAAAACTTCTGCATTGAAAATAATTCTTTTAAATTAAACTGTTATAGAAATGTGCCAAAAATCAAGTCAAACAACAAGTCGACTTAAAAGCATGGGCCTTTTTCATGTCTAAGTACTAATGGTCGTCTTGTTGCTACACTGACGCAAACAAGATTCTATCATTATTTCTATTTTTCAATTTATTATTACCTCTTATAATGCAGCATAAAAAATTCTATTTACCTTTTTTATTGCTTTAAATATTTTGGGTCTTTTTACGTTATTAAAATTTAATTTTACATTTTTACAAAATAGGTTGTCCCATGAAGGTATTCTTGCCTCCTTTTCTATTTTGGCCCTGCAACTATTGTTTTTACTTCTCATTGTAATTTTTATTATGCTTTTGCCGAATTAAAAACCTAATTCATATTTTATTGTTACGTATTTTTTTACTTAGTATAATAATTTTATTAAACAATGGCTAAAGATAATTTAAATTCCCCATATTTTGATGATTCTGGGGAAGGTGCAGCCACTTATAATAGGGTAAGTTAAAAGAATTGGAAATCATTTATATCTCTATATTGTAAAACATCTACCTGTCAATAAGATTGCCTTTAACGAAAAAAAACTAAACTAAATTAAGTTGAATAAAAAAAAATTTTAAAGGAACTTTTAAATTTATCTTTTAATTAATTAATTTTATCATTAATTTATTTTTAAAAGGTAAGCTTTTTTTTTTTTTAATTTTTAGATAGTTGAATGGTTAAACGAAGCAGCTTTGTCAAATGAAGCTTCTGTAAAAGTTGAAAATTTGAGAAAAGTTCAAGAATTAATTTTTAATTCCTCTCAGCCTAGCTTATTAGATAACTTTTTACATGAAGTTTTAGTATTTCAAAACGACAGAAATGCTGAAGTGAGAAAGTTAATTGTAGGATTCATTGAGGAAGCTTGGTAATTTTAGATAACGAAACATTAAACGCATATTGTATTAATTTTGTTAATAAAAATATTTATTTATTAAATAATATTTTTTAAGCAAACGAGATAATGACATTCTGCCAAAGGTTGTAATGAATATTAATATGTTATTACAAGATAACTCTGCTCAAGTACAAAAAAGGGTAATTCAAGCAGCTGGTCCAATTTATAAAATTGCATTAAAATGGTTAGCCAAAGCGAAAACAATTACGGAGGATATGGAAGCTGCTTGGAAAGTTTTGGGTCAAATTAAGCAACAAATTATAAACATGATTGATAATGATAATGATGGGTAAATACTTTTAATTTTTTTTGTTTTATACTTCTAATTTGTTGCCTAAATTGGTTTTTTTTTATTTTTGTTTACAGTATAAGAACACTTTCTGTGAAGTTTTTAGAGTTTATAGTTTTATTGCAAACATATCCAGAATCCGATAGTTTGATTAAGGAAAATGACTTTTCATTAGAAGATATTCCATTTACTCTCAAAATAGCTAGAAGAAGGAAGTTAGAAGAAGAAGCACAGTATGATTAATATTATTATTAAAATTTTGATTTTTTTTTTTTTAATGTAATATAAATTTATTAATCCTTTTTAGAGAGCTTTTTGATTTGCTTATCAAATTTCACGGGTCCCCACATATAAGTAGTGTAAATTTAATGACATGTATGGGATCATTAGTTTTAATAGCAAAATTAAGACCACAATTAATGGGCAAAGTAGTTACAGCTTTGGAAAGCCTTCACAGTAAGCTTTTTAAAAAATTTTTTAATAATTTTATTATTTTTACACGATTTCTAAATATTTTATTTTTACAGTTAATTTACCACCGACGTTGTCTAAAAGTCAAGTAAGCTCTGTAAGAAAGCATCTCAAACTTCAACTTCTAAATCTTCTTAAACTTCCTGCTTCTTTAGATTTCCATAACAATATTACAACTCTACTTACTGACCTTGGTGCAACTTATCAGGAAGTTGTTAAAGCCTATCCAAAGCCTGACGAAATCAGAAAATATAAACAAAAAAGATTACAAGAAACTGCTCACTCTGATTTGCCTTCTAAAAGAATCAAATTAGAACATGATTTTGAAGATTCTGAAGTAGACAATGATTTATGTGAAGATAAAAAAAAAATTGAAACAACAGTAGATATCACTGAGAGATTTATTGCAGAGCGTCTGAGTGCGGAATTGGCAACTCAATTGGTTATGTCTTCAATGGTATATAATAAAATTTAAAAAAATGATGCAAAAACTGCAATAAATTTTTATAATTTATTCTTTATTTATGATTTTTTACATTTATTTTTATATTAAAAAAAGTAAAATGTTTCTTTTAACAGGCAAAACTGCCTGACATAATGCCTCCACACTTTAGCTCTACTTATACACCCATAGCAGCAGCAGGAACAAAGGGACAAATCCGTCATGTAGCCAGATTAATGGCCACACAACTTGCTGCCATCAATTTGGGTCCTGGTATTAAATTAACTAAAAAAGCAGTACCTTCTTTAATGGACGAAGATGAAGATGAAGGAAAAAGCGCATTAAGTGTTGCATCAGAGAGTAATTAAATTATAATATTAACGTTAAAAAAAAAAAAAAAATTATTTATTTTAATCGCATTAATTGTGCAAATTTTATTTTTAGTAGAAGTTAAAAAAATTGATGACAAAGTAAAAACAACTTTAATACCCGCAGGAGCTAAGTTAAGTCGATTAACTAGATTAAAGACATTAAAACTACAAGAGATTACAAAACCTCTTAAAGAAGAAACCAAAAATTCACTTATGATTTCGGCTTTCGAAAAAATTTTAAGAGCTGATAAATCAGCTATCGGTGGAGGGGCTTCTAATGCTAGATCAAAAATTATTACTTTCATGGCGTCCACATTTAGCCCTCATATAAGAGCAGGTTAGTGCCTTTTTCGTTATTTTCAATTGTATATAACAATAATAATTATTTCCTTTTTTTTTGTTTATTTTTCAGCCACGTTGGATTATATCAAAGCAAATATTAAATCAAGAGTTGATTTGGGTATATCTTGGTTGTACGAAGAATATAGTTTTATGCAAGGATTTAACAGGTTTCCATTTTGTTTGAAACAAGACAAAAAACCGGATGAAAACTACAACAATTTACTTCACACGATAATAACGGAAGTTATGTTTGAAGCAAAGTTAGATTTAAGAGAAAGAGAAGTATTACTAAACCGTTTATATTTGGAAGTACCTTTAATAACTGACGATGCCATGGATTTATTAAAGGATATGTGTTGTGATGAGATAAAAGCTCCCATGGGTTTAAAATTGTTAGAGGATCTTATTATTAAAAGACCTCCAAGACAAATGAATCTTTTAAATGCTTTGCTTGTTCACACCTCACATGAAAATTATTTAGTAAATATTTGGGAGTTATGTTGTATGCCTGCTTTTATAATAAATTTTAAGCGTTTTAATTTGACTCTGCATTTAATTTTTTTAGATACGTAATGAAGCTCTATCTAGAATTGTCAATTTATACAACAGAAAGGATTTATCAAGTATAATTGAAGAATACTCAGTTTTTTATTTAGGATTTTTAAAATTACCCTTACCACCTGATGTACTTTTTGGAACCGACCGGGGACGTCCAGAAAAGACTGATGCATGGACAGAAGAAACTATAAAAGCTTGTTTATACCTTTTAATGGCTTTACTTCCAATGAATGAGAAAATGATTCACGAGTAAGTTTTTTATTAATAAAAACGTTTGTTTCACATGGACTCACAATACCTAAATGTTTTACTATCAAAATTAAATAAATTGTATTAATGTGATATCTTTTAAAAAAAAAAAAAAGGCTGGCTCGAGTCTACGTTTCTACAGCAGCTGACGTTAAAAGAACAATTATTAGACTTCTTGAACAACCTGTTAGAGGAATGGGTATGAATTCACCAGAATTATTGTTGTTAGTAGAACAATGTCCTAAAGGAGCCGAAACGTTAGTTACAAGAGTCATTCATGTTTTGACTGATAAAGGTTAATGGAATTTTTTTTAAATTTTATTTTTTCTTGTCAAAAATAAAAATAATAATAATTTTTTTTTTTCATTTTAGTACCACCCAGTTCTGAGCTTGTTGAAAGAGTACGGGATTTGTATCGGTCGAGAGTATCCGACGTTAGATTTCTCATACCCGTTCTTAACGGTCTTAAAAAAGAAGAAGTCATCGATGCTTTGCCTAAATTAATTAAATTAAATCCAATAGTCGTAAAAGAAGTTTTTAACCGTCTCCTTGGAACACACTCTGAAACAACGGATTTTACAAGCCCCATCACTCCTGCAGAATTGTTAGTAGCTCTCCATACAATCGATCCCAATAAATGTGAATTAAAAGTCGTAATCAAAGGTAAAATTTAAGTGATATTTATTTTTAAATTACTTTTGGATTTTTTTTTTTTTTAAATGAAAAATGTCTTTGACAGCCACATCTTTGTGTTTTGCCGAACGTCAAGTATACACTCAAGAAACTCTTGCTGTTGTTCTCCAACAGCTAATGGAAATAAATCCCCTTCCTACTTTGTTAATGAGAACAGTTATTCAATCGTTGACCCTTTATCCTAGACTCATTGGTTTTGTTATGAATATTTTACAAAGGCTCATTCTAAAACAGGTACGTACATAATTTTATACCTTGAGTGATTCACATAAAAGTTTTGATTTATTAAAATTTTATTTTAATATTTTTTTTAGGTTTGGAAGCAAAAAAAAGTATGGGAGGGTTTTATAAAATGCTGTCAAAGAACCAAACCACAAAGTTTTCAAGTTTTACTTCAATTACCTCCTCCTCAACTGGCAGAAGTATTTAAAGAATGTCCCGATTTAAGAAATCCATTATTAGATCACATAATGACATTTACGGATCATCAGGTTAGTATAAATTTAATTATGTGCAGTTTTAGTTCTTATATAGTTACAGTGTATTAATTTTATTTATTTTTTTTTTTTTAAGAGAAAACATATTCCGAAAAATATAATGGACCTCTTATTAGGCAATCAAACCGTTTTAATAGACGATGATTCTGAATACATACCGCCACCTGCAGTACCTGAGCTCATTGTAGACATAAAAAAAGAACCAGTAGACCCTAATGAACCTCCTCCCCCTGGAATCATTGCCGAATAACCGAAAGTTTTTTTTTATGAATATTCATATTAAAATGTGAACATTTTTAAGCAAAATATAAAAAAAAAAAAACAATATTAAATAAATACGGTTTGACTTGATCACTTAAAAAAAAAAATATTTGAAAACATGTTTAGTTAGTAAAACAAAAAAGGAAAATTAACAGTTTAAGGGACGTGAATCTAAGGTAAAATAATAATTTTTCGATTAAAAATGAGGATAGTGATTTTTAATAACAATTTGCATCAAGATAATATTAAAAAATCGTATATTTTTATTTAAAAAATCTTTTCAGCCATTTTTTTTATTTTACAAATAATTATTTGCTTAAAAATATTTTTTTGGCAGAATAAAGTAAAAGCCAACATCTTAAAAAAAAAAAATTTTTTTCAATTTTTGTTTTTTTTTTTTGTTAAAAGTAATTACTACAAAGAGGACAGGCAATTCTAAATGATTAAAGCTAACGAAAACTGTTTATTTATAAAATATTTTTATAAAATTTTATTATTATTTTTAAGTTTTTCCTGAACTTATCACTACTACATCCATTTAAGTAACAGATGAATCTTTTTTTTGTTCTTGAGTTTTACCTAAAAGTTTTTCATATTCCTCAATACTACCTTCGATGACCTCTACTTTATTATTATTTTTACAAGAATTAATTTCTTGAGTAGTAATAGTTTCTTCTTTTGCTTTGTGACTTTTTTCGGCTATACGTTTTTTAACTTTGGCAAATATTTTACTTGATTTTACCAATTTTTGGACACCATCTTTTTGAAGCCATCGATGACGCCAGGACGTTTCTTCTGGAACACTTTCAGATTCAGTATTTTCTTCTTTGTTAGGTGTACAATCATCAGGATTTTTAGAATCAGTTTCTTTGTTATTATTTTGGGAAACTACATCTGAGGTCGTTGTTAAAACTTCTTCTGACTTATCACCCTCAACATTTTCTTGAACAATTTCTGGTGGATATTCTAAATTACAATTATTAACAAAAGTACCATTATCTATAGCAGTTACTCTTTCTGAATTTTCATCTATTTTCGATTCGAAACTGTTCTGCTGCTCTAACATTTCAAAACTTTCTGGCTGCAATTTTTCTTGTTTAATTTCAACAGGATACTCATCCTCACTAGTACTTATTTCTCCTTCCTCAGGATCTTCTACTAATATTTCAGTTACTTCAACAGGTTCTTCTTTAATTTTTACACTAGGACATTCAATTTCTTTTTTTTTAATTTCACTATTTTCATCGCTATTTTCATTAATTTTTTCTTCTTCATTTTCCATTCTTTGCTGTCTTGTTCTGTAAATTTTTCTTTTAAACAACTTATTTCTTAGTTCCAATTCTGCTTGTAGTCTTTTTGATTTATCATTTTCTGTTTTAATAACTTTTTTATTATTTTTAGATTGTTCTAATTTTTCATCTAAATCATTGTTTTCAAAAGTCTCTTTTTTGGAAGATGTGGCCAAATCTTCATCTTCGCATCCTGTCAAATCTACAATTTCATCTGTCGTTTCTTTCACGCCATTTTTCAAGTCGTCAGGGTTAATCGTTTCATGTCCTTGTTCATTTTCTTTATCACTACCACTCTGTTTTAATAAAGCTCTTATTGCTCTTGCTCTCATTTCAAGCTCTAAAATTTCCAATAAAGTTTTCCCTTGTTCAACAGGACCATTTTCTTCATTTGTTTTGGCTTGTTTTATTGTCTTCGACTCAACCGATTCATTTTTTCGTTTTCTATACTTATTTGTAGTATTGTTGCTGTTATATTCATGAGAATCATCAGACCTAAAGCAATTAATTTTTTTTTGTATTATACATTTAAATTCAAAATTTTTAACTTTTTAAATAGTGTAATGCAAAAAAATTACCCATCAGAACTGGAAACTGATGATGATCTATGATTTTTATCGCTATCATATTCATTAGATTCAGCTACCTCAGATTCAGAAGATGTATCTAATAAACCTCCCTCAAGGATACATGTGATTCTTTTTTCAGACATACCTAACAGCTGATCAAGACACTTTAGTTTTAACTGATCCAGATCAGAATCCTGAAAAAAAAATTAATTAATTCTTGTAATAATTTACAGCAAATCGTGAGAGAGATCAGCTATACTATCATATCATCTAAAACCCTTTAATGTAATTTTACTACAGAAATATTTTTAAAATGTTTACAAATAATATATTTTATTTAAAATAAAAAATAATGCACCTTCAGAATAGGGGGCAACATTGCCTTTAATTTATTTCCTTTTATAACTGAAAACATTTGATTTATCATTTCGGCTCTATCATGTATGTAATATCCGATTGGATGGCATTCTTTAGTCAAATCTAGTTCTTCTTCACTGCTTTCAATTTCATCTTCTGATTCCTAAAAAGTAATTTTAATAATAATTTATTATGGTATTTACATATGTTCTTTTTTAAGTAATTATATATAAAGAAAATGATGAAGATAAACAGTATTTTAAACATTACAATTTTCAGAAACAGTATTGAAATTTAATAAATACAAACCTCCATTTTTTTCTTCTTTTCTTTTTTTCCCTTTTTATCTTTTTTATTAACTGAATTTTTACTTTTGACACTCATATTTCAAATGTGATACCTTATTTCAAATTTTAAAGAAGTAAAAATTTTATTTATAATATTTACTGGTCCCAGAAAAAAAATCACAACGCAACTTATTCAATACAATTAAAATTAGTTTCTTCTAAGCGTTCGTACTAATCATGCTAAAAAAAAAATATTTTTTTTTAAATTGACAACTTGTAAACTTATCATATTGTATGATTAGTAAAAATTTTTTAGGGCCACTATTCATCAAGGTAAACACAATCCAAATATTTTTAAAAATGAAAAAAAATTTTTAATGTGTGAGAATGATTTATTACTGTTTAGTATCACATCAGAAAAAACAATTAATTACAATAACTGAGAAATTTATTACTTTACCCATTCGCAGTGTTAGAAGAAAACATTATGTTAGTAACTATAAGCCGGCCGTTAAACCTCTGTCAATTATTGAAAGTCTTAATTTGATTAAATCAGAGAAAACTACCTACAGGCAGTGCTATTCATTAAGTCATTGTGCAAAATCGTTAAATTTTTGTAAAAGTAAACTTTTAAAAAAAAACCTGTATTTTACTCAAAGATGTAATATTGGAAGCATTGGTAAAGAAGATGCACCCCTAACAAAGACTCAAGCTGATGATCTTATTCTTCGTTTGACTGAAGATGAAAGAAAAGCTTTGTTGTCAGCTTTACAAGAGTACAATTCAAATCAAGTAAAAGCTGAATATGAAGGTACAATCAACTATTACTTGTATTTTATAAGAATAAATAAGGTTTATATACTATTCAAATATTGGTTTTTAATATTAATTTTCAATGTTTTTTTGTAAAATTGTTAAAAATATTTTTCTATATTTACAAGCTGTTATTGAGCATAAAAAAGATATTATGCGATTGTATTAAGTTGTAAAAAAATTTTCATCTACAATCAAGTTAATTTTTTTTTTTTTTTTTAAATTATTCTAGAGTATTCTCTTGCAATTGTTATTTTCTTAAATGTCATTTTTGATGATTATAAGTGATAGTAAAAAAAAGATAATAATACATGTCCCTATTTAAAAAAATATATTAGGTCAACTTGCAGCTACTAGATGGAGGTCAAAATTTGGAAGACCTAGTAAGCTTCCTACTCTTGGAGATGTTGATCCAACAGGATCATATTGCCATTTGCCAGAAGACTGGTTAAAAAAAAAATATGGTAGGCCTTATTAAATAAAGTAATTCTGCAGCAAAGTAACTCAACCGCTGACTGCTAATAAATTGCTGCATGTTGCCTTAATTATTGAATTGGTGATGGTGAATCAAATTTTTAAAAAGTCATCATATATGCATATTTTAGTTTTTTTTTTTTTTTTTTTATTGATTTAAAATTTGTATTTAAATTGATTTTAAATAATTTTAAAAAATTTCTAGAAATAAGATATAATTACTGTATATAATATATAAATAAAAAAAAAAAAAATTGTTTATTTTAAGTAAATGAAATTTATTAGTAGTTTAACTAAGTTGAAAAAAATTTTTTTATTTGCACGCTTACAGCTGGCAAATTTAAATTTCATTCTTCACAAAAGGTTGATGACATCATCGAAAAACTTCAAAGTTAGTTTAAATTAGAGTAAAATAAATTCATTGTTAAATAAATATGTGCATTCAAATCCTACAACTGTTATTACATTTATATCAAAATTTAAGCTAATGCATGTTTAAATAATAACCTTTTCTATTGTTATTTTATTTTTTTTATCGATAATAATAATATTTTGCAGAATATTTTTTGCAGTGTATGACATTGATGGCACAGTAACGATAATTTTAAAAAGTTTGAAAAATTGTTTTTTGAGTTTTACTATTGGTTTAGGCACCTTTGCATGATTTTCTTTTTACTTTTATTTTAAATTAAAGCTAAATATAAAATTAGCTAATTTCTTAACTCAATAATAATTTATTACCTGAATTAATTTATTTTATAATAAATAAATTATATTTAAATTTAAAACTTTCAATCGTTGAATAAAAAAAAAAAAAAAAAATTGTTTTTTCAATAGTTTTTTCTTTTTTTTTTTATTTTAGCTGAAAAGGTTCCACTACCAACAGGTCAACAACTTATGAGAGGTTTGTTCAAATCAATTTTTAATAAAATTTCCTGAAATAATAATTTTTTTTTTTATTATCAAACATTTTTTTGTTTTTCAGTTGCTATATTCAATGCAGTTCCCTTTGTTGGTTTTGGATTTTTAGATAATTTTGTTATGATTGTTGCTGTGAGTTTTTTCATTTAAGTAACTATATTGAAAAATATTGAAATTTATTTTTGAAGTAAAAAAGTCAATAATGTATTTTTAGGGTGATTACATCGATGAAACATTAGGATCATTAGTTACCATTTCGACAATGGCTGCTGCAGCTTTAGGTAACACTATTTCTGATGTCATGGGAATTGGTTCTGCTTGGTATGTCGAATTAGCTGCTTCAAAAGTCGGTTTAAAACCTCCTAATTTATCTCCTATTCAATTAGATATGAAACCTGCTAGGAGAGCAGCCAATTTGGTGAGTGAAATTTTTTTTAAAAATTTACCTAATGTAACAATTATCAATTTACTTTTTTTTTTTTTTGTAAATTTTTCAGGGTAGAGCCATGGGAATAATTGTAGGATGTTTATTGGGAATGTTACCTCTTTTATTTATTAGTAAAGATGATGGGAAAAAAAAGGAAAAAGTTTAAAAGTATTCGATAAAAAAAGGATTCATACATATTTTGCTTTTAAATAGTTTTAAATATATATTATAAATAAGATTTTTTTCTTAAATCTATTCTGTAAATCTAAAAATTTTCTTAAAATCATGTATAACAATATTGTCTCTGTGTCACTGTGTATCCATCTTGTTTTTATGTACATTTAACCTAATTTAAAAAGAATTTTTTTTTTTTTTTTTCTAATCGAAACTCACAAGGATCGTAAAGTTACAATAATATTAATAAATTTTCAATCTAACTTTGATATTTCTATTTATAAATATTGTATTTTATTTTTATTTTATTTATTTGACTTTATCTAACTTGGACAATGTAATTTTGAGTGAAATAATTTATAAGTTTATTTTTTTTTTTTTAGAGTTTGTCATGTTTTAAAATAAGTTAAATTAATTGGATTTTTAGAGAATGAGACGTTATCTTATTAAATTTGAATTTTTTTTTTCGTTTTTTTAAACGTAATCGTTAACATTTTTAATCACGTGTTTTTCTTCAATTTTGTTTCTGTATATATATTATACATATATAAATCTGTTTTATTTCTTTAAGTATTATTGTTAATTTAATTATTTGATTTTTATGAAATATTATTATTATAATAAAAAGTATTTTCGTTTTAAAATTTTATTTATAATAAATGTAAATAACAAATGAAATATATGTTACCTATTTTAAAATATTAATTATTATTATTATTATTTATTCTGTTACTAGTCATTTATACTCATTATTAGTATTTAGTATCAACATCATTGATTGTATTTGTTTAACAAAAAGAAAAAATTAATTATTTTTCTAATAAATTTTCTTTTTTTTTTTAAATCTGACTGAGTTTTAAAGGTTTACATGATTAGCATAATTGATTGAAATTTTTTTATTATGTTTATGAAAAGTTTTGTCGACAAGTTTCTGACATTTCTTTTTTTTCCCTTAATGTCTTATAATATTCTTATTACTTTTTATTGAAGATGTAACGTTTAATTATAATATTAAAAAAAAATAATAAAAAATTCATTCAATTTTATACTTTATAAAAATTTATTAAAGAATTTATTTTTATAAATACTATGGGTTACTCTTAACTCATCGAATTAAACTAAAATATTCAAATTTTTAAACTTGTAAATGGAGTAATTGATTAATCGAATAAAATCAAAGTTTTAAATTTGAGTTATAAGAAAAATTATTTTTATTGAAAATTAAAATTAAAACCAAAAAAAGTATTGTTACAAAAAATTAACAATAATTAATAATTATGATAAAGCAAAAATGAACCCATCAAACCTTAAATTAGTTCCATTAGCCATATAAAAATAAATTTCTTTTTTTTTTAAACAATATTTTGTTAATGTAACTAATAATATTATTATTAAATTTTTTTTTTTTTTTTTTGATTTTTAATTTATATATTTAAACCAAATAAAAATTTATATTTGGCCCCATTTAAAAAAAAAAAAAAAAAAAATTGCAAATAAAATTTTGTAATTTATTTAATAAATTAATTTGAAATTCAAAGATTAGAAAAAAAAAAATAATAAATAAATGTTTTTACTTTAAGGCATAATGTTTAATTAGATTTCATCTATTAAAAGCTTGATATAAAGTGAAAACCTCTTGGAGTTGGCTCTTTTATGAAAAATTTTTTTATGTACTCGGGCCAAATCCACATATTAAAGTTTTGAGTAAATAATAAACCTGATTTCAATTCCTTCTTTTCAAAATTAAAATATTCAGCATCTATAATATTAGTTGGCAATAAATATGAATACCATTTGTTCCAAATATTCAAATCCTTATCTTTGTAACAAGTTTTACAAGGTATGTTTCGAGATAAATTTAAAAATTCCGATTCTCTAATATTAAAATAAACTCTAGGTATTACAGTTGTTAAATTTTTTGCATCTTCGGTTCTTTCAGAATAAATAATAGGACTGTGTGTCTGACCAGGTAGTGATGTGTTATTCCATTCTTTAACTTCAGGCGTGGTGAGTTTCGGCTTTAATTCTAAACCAGGTATATGGCTAACAATGAGTGCAGAACCAACCAAAGCAAGAATACTTGCCGTGTAACTGAGCATACAAGCAGATGTAACCTAAAAAAATTAAAGCAATGCATGATATATCAAATTCAAATTCAAACTCTTATTTTTCATCAATGTTTTTTTAATAATTTAAAGTAATCTTACATGCCACAAACATTGAACAAGGTTTGATAAATCGATTAACTGTAAAAGTGTATTCAATTCACTGTAAGTAAACCATCCTCTTTTACTTCCCTGCTGAAGTTTTACTTTAGATTCTAACGAATTAAACTTATTCCAAAATTCTTCTTCACTAACAAAAACTTTCCAATTCTAAAATAATAATAATAATAATAATAATTAAATATTTTAAGTTATAGGAATGCCTTAAAAAGTAAAAAAAAAAACTTACTATAGCATTTAAAAATTCTTTTTCAGCCTTATTAACTTCCTGAGTGCTTAATCCAGTCAAATCAGCCCAATCTGTGTTGCAGAGTACATCATCTTCTCCATTGTCTTGCAAAAATTTTGATCCTACAACCTGAGTTTAAAAAAAAAATAGAATTTCATTAAATGTTTTTAAACCTTTTTTTTATTAACAGTTTTAAAATAATTACCTACCAATGAAATAAGAAACAATTCTGTAGGAGAAACTTTAGTCAGATATTTTGGGTTACAAGTTTTTAACCTTTCTAAATATAAAAGAGCAAGAACCAATAAACTAGGTGAAACACATCCATTTCTTGTGTAGTAAGCAGCCTTTTCAATGTCAAGTCGATTTAAACTAAATTTATTTGCCTGAGAAAAAATTTCAGCTGCTAATTCTAAAACAAAAATAATTTTCAATAATTAAAATTATAAATATTTTCAATATAATTTGTTTTCACTGAAATTATTTTCTGAATTTTTTAAACAATACATTAATTATCTTATAATTTTAGTGGAAAATGAAACGATGACTCATTTGTAAGATTAATATATCCAATACTGTGATAACATGCCGACTTGAATAATAAAATTTTAAAATAAAGTTTAAAAAAACCATGAATAAAATTTTTTATCAGTAATACGTTACGGTGTTCAATTTCAAATTTAACTTACCTGTAACTGGTAAACTTGTGCAATCTGAAAGGGGTACATGAACGTAATACAATGATTTAGCAATGCGAGCAATATATTCTTCGTGATTAACAAAATTCTGAAAAAAATAAATTGTAAAACAATTAAATTCCAGGTTGTTAAAAAAAAAATTTAGTATCATTATTAAAAAATATTTCAATTGGAAAAATTTTTTTACCAGTAATCCCATTAGAGGTAAAATTAATGTTGACGTAGTGACTTACCTTCATTTTTTGTTTTCTATGAAATAATTTTCTTTTTAATGTATCCGTAAGCATTTCAGTAATTTTGAAGTTCCAATTAAACAAATTTAAACAAGAAAATTGATAGAAATAAGCAGTAAAATCTAATATGACCGGATTAATAACAATAGGCCTCAGAAATGGAGGCGAACTTGTTTCATTTACTGTCGTGGAATAAGAATAAATACTGTAAATGGTGCACAATTTAAATTTTCACCTCGAAATGGATAATCGTTTGTGCCAAATGTAACTATAATTTTTTTTTTTTTTTTCATGTTGTATTTTTGCAAAATATAATTTAATTTTGTATATTTTAAACCATACTGCAACATAAACTAAACTTTTTTATTTCTTAATGTAGTTGTCAAATCAACAATGCCAAATATTCGTGTCCCAATTGCCAAGTATTTTACTGTTCATTAAATTGTTATCAATCAGAAAAGCACAATGAATGTTCCGAAGTTTTTTATAAAAAATGGGTAGAAGAAGAATTAAAAAATTGCAGTAATGATTCATCACACGACAAGAAAAAAATTCTAGATATACTTAAAGCTTCTCAAATACATCATCAATCAGATGAAAGTTTGGGTAAAGTTTTTTTTTTTTTTTTGATAGTTAATAAAATATTACAGAGAAAAAAGATTTGGGCTGTAAATTAAATAAATCCATAGCTATTTGTGTAAATCTATTAAGTTTTAATATTTTTTTTCATACAGTTATAATATTGTTTTTAACTTATTGCTTTTTTTTGTTTTACCTTGAAGTTAAAGAATTTATAAACAATAATAGGCTTAAAAAATTATTATTTTAAACCTAAAAAATTTTTAACACTTTTAGCATAGATGTTTAATATTTAATAAATATTATTAATAAGTAATAAATTCATTGTTTGTTTTAAATAATAGATTCTGATGACTCAACCTGCAGTAACGATCTGGCTACTAGAATGGAAAATGTAAATCTTGATGACGATGAAAATGTATGGACAAAATTAACTTCCGAAGAGAAAAGAGAATTTAGAAAAGTAATAGCATCTGGAAATATACTTAATCTAATTCCTGATAGTGACCCTTGGTGGATATCTTTGAAGAAAAAAGTTCTGATTCAAGAGTGTGATAATGATAATATAAATGATCAAAGTTCATACCCTCCAGTGATATCGTCTATTACAGAGCTATCAACTTTAACTGTTAGTTTTTTTTTTTTTTTTTTAAATAACATAAGTATTATGCTTAAATTAGTATTTAAACAACACAAGTTTTAAAATTTTTGTTTTTTTATTTTACTTATAGAAAAAAAAACCATCTGAAAAAATTCCTTTTATTTTATTAAATATATTAGCATCTTATGTTTGCACCATTAGATGGTTTAAATCCTATCACAAGGAAATGCCGATAGAATCAGTTTCTACACTTATCGCTTTATCTGCAGCATTAAGAACCAATTCTGTTTTTAATAATTCAATAGAAGCATTTATGTATTTTGAGGAAGATGTTTCAAAGGTAAAATTTACATTTTATTTAAAATTTGTTTACAATTCTAAATTTATTTACAATTTTTAGTGTAAATGGTTTAAGTGTGCACAATATGATAGAAATCTTATTAATGAAGATCTTAAAATTATTTTGGCTGATAAACTCACCAATGATTTACATTACTATATAAAAGCTGCTTTGAGTGACATAGTATTGACCATTGAGAATGCCATTAAAGTTTTAAAAGACAAAAAGTTTTCATATTTAAAAAGGTATTTTTATTTATTGTTATTCAATGATATGCAATTTAACATGTGTAAATCCCACATATTATTTTTCCAATATTTTTATACTAAAACAAATACTACTTTTTTTTTCAGGTTTACTGATATCCCTTTAACCGTTAGCCAATTACGAATTCTTTCAAAAAAAATACATTATTATTTATCCTGGGTCGAAAGTGAAGGGATAACATTAAAACAAACACTTAATGATTTTTTCTAAATGAAAAAATAAGGATTATATTTATTTGTTTTAAATTCATTCGATAATAGTAAGTTTATTTCTATATATATATATTTGTTGTATAATTTTTTTTATATTACAAAAATAAAATTTGATTTACGAATAGAATCGAAGCTTTTTTCAAAGTAAAAAAAAAAAAAAAAAAAAATGGTGTCAAAAAGGGAAAAATTTTTTTTTCGAGGGAAATAATTGTTTAAAATGTTTATAAACTGTCAATTTGGATCATCAAAATAAATTAGTATTTTTTTGGAATTGATACAAAATTTTTATAGGAAAAAAAAAAAAATGAATTAAAATTTTAAAAATTAATTATGGATTATGTTTCGCTTACAGAATCTGTTATATCGAACAATTTTAGTTTACTACACAATGTAAATTTTACATCGAATGTCAAAGTAATTAAAGAATAGTAAGTTTCATGTAATACCTGCATAGAAAAAATCAAAATTTAAATTATTATTATTATTATTATTATATTTATGTTCAATATGTGATAATCAACCATATTGAAACCGTAAAATATTTTTTAATAAAAAAAAAAAAAGGTTAATTGATATAATAATTATTTTAGTACTTGTTCAGAAGGGAGTACAACGGTTACTTACACGGATGACCTTAAAGCATTAATTGTAGGACAAGAAGATGGTACCATTCTTTTATTTGAAAATGACAGTTCTTCACCCGTTGTTTTAACGGATTTCGATATAACTCAAACGGGGGAACCATGTACCGATTTAAAAATCAAATCATCTCCCAAAGGAGGTTACAATAAAACATTTTTAGCCGGTTGTAAGTTTTATTAAATGTGCAAGAGTTAGTTAATCAAGTTAAATGTGAACATTTAATAAACTCTTTAAAATGAAAGAACAACCGTTTTTTTTTTAGATTTGAGCGGACATATTAAATTATGGGACGTTAATATAAAAAAAGTTTTATTCACCCTTAAGGAAAATCGTCATTTGTACAGTTTGAATTATCATCCCAGGTCAAATAAATTTGTTACCGTTGGAAACGATTTTAAAGTTAATATTTACGATGAGGAGAGAAGGGTTGCCGAAAGAGTTTTGGCATCCAGGTATTCCCTTATCTCCTTCTTTTTTAAATATTTGAGTCGGACACGTTTTAAATAAACATTACTGGAAAAATTTTAGCGGTATTAAAGGATGTAAGAAAGGACATTCCGACAGTGTTTGTTCGGCAGTTTTCCATCCTAGAAATCAATTTGAATTAATATCAGGTGGAATTGATAACATGTTACAATTTTGGGATGTAAGAGCTCCTTATGCAATAAGAAACATAGAAGGTATCACCATGTACGGTGACGCTTTGCACGTGACGGAAGATGGAAAATTAGTAAGGAAAATTTTTGTCGGTTAAATTTTTACCGGAAATTAAAAAATCCCATTTAAAAAAAAAAAAAAAAAAAAAAAAATTTGATTAATTTTAGGTTTTATGCGGTATATCCGGTACTTGGGAATCCCCGATTCAAATTTATGATTATAACACTGGTAAAATGTTGAAAGAACACAAAAAATCTGGTTCTTTTGTAAGAATTATTATTATTATTATTATTATTAAAATCCTGAAATTTAAAACAATAATAATAATAATAATTTATTTAATTTGATTTTTTCTATTAGATTTATTGTAGTAAATTTATATCCCCTGTTATGATTGGAGTCGGTGGATTTTATCAACACACATTTAAAATAATTAATATGAGAAATTTACAAGTTAGTTTTATTTATTTATTTTTTTTGTTTGTATTTCAAAAAAAAAAAAAATGAAAAAAATTTATAATTAAAATTGAATTGAGCAGGTTCTTGCACATTTAAATGGATTACCTGGATGCGTTATGAGTTTTGCACTTTGTAAAAAAGTACCACGTTTTAAAACGAATGTGGAGAAAATACCAAACATTGCAATAAGTACAGGGAATTCAGTTGTAGAAGTAGAAATTATTCATCCGGGAAAAATTGATAATGATATTAATTTTTATTACGATACTTGAATTATATGTATTAAATTTAAAAAAATATGTAAATTTTGATTAATAATCTGGATAATAAATTGTTGTCTGTCTTTTACAAATAAATTTTTTGTTTTTTTTTTTTTTTTTTTTTTTCTTTACCAAAATACAAATGTATTAGTTTTGAACAAAAGAAAAAAAATTTTTTTTTTTTTTTTCCCCATGTGGATTTTTTAAATGATTGAGTTTAATAATAATAATAATAATAAAAACGTTTAAACAATTATAAATTAAAACAATGATTATTTTAAACAAAAAAAAAATTCAATAAAATTACAATTTAAAGCTTAATTTATTATAATTTACAATTAAATTATTGTAGATAAAATAATAAAAAAAAAAAATATTTAATAACTCGATAACAATAAAATATTTATTTATAAAAAAAAAAAAAATAATAATAATAAATTTTTTTCCTTTTTCCTTTTCTTTTAAAATATCCGTAAGAGATCAAATGTATAAAAAAAACAAAAAAAAGAAAAAAATTATTCTCTTTTTTATAAATCATTCATTTTATTTTGTACAATTTATTCATTGGAATTTCATTACCTGTTCAGTTATCATTATTATTAATAAAAAAAAAAAAAAATTAAATAAAAACGATCGATCTGCGATACTCCGCGGTGTGTGTGTGTGTGTGTGTGTGTGGGGGGGGGTGTTTTCATTTTAAAAAAATTACAATTTCATTTATATATATATTGACAATTTACAAATTTAAATTTTTTTTTATTCTTATTTTTTTCCCATTTGGATTCTAGCTTAGACTAAAAAAATATTACTTAATTACATTTTATACATTAGACAGTAATTTACATAACAAAATTTTTACACGAATTGGCCAACCATTAATTTTAATTTAAAATATTAACGCATTTATACTGTATTTAACGGTTTTAGAGAGAGAGAGAGAGAGAAAGTAAAACAATACTGTAACTGCGTTTTTAACCTTCGGTAATAATTGAATAAAAAAAAAAAAAAAAAAAGTTAAAAGTTATTTGCTGTATTGCGGAGTGAGTGCTTTCATTTTTCCCAAAACGAATATGTTCCCCGCTCCGAGAGAACTTAAACTTGAAAAAACTTTTTCTTTGGCCGTATCTAACTGAATGATCGGAACACCAAAATATCCCCCGTTGTTACTCTGAAGTTGAGAAAGTGGTATAAAATTGAAAATCCCACATTTTAACAATTGATCTCGCGACCCGGGATTATTGAGATCCACTATTGGAATTGCTAAATCGGGAGATGATTGCTTGACTTTGTGCGAACTGTTTTTGTGCTGTTGTAATTGAGCTGAAGTCTGATATTGAGCCGTGCATTTATTGCACCTGAAAACATTCAAATATTCAATAAAGTTTTCCCGACATTTTTATTAATTTTTTTTTTTTAAATGTAACAACCTGAAAGGTAATGAGGACCGATGAGTCGCTTTATGACTTTCTAAAGCTGTTGACGTCGTGTAATGTTTTCCGCACTGCTTGCAATTAAATCGACCTGGTTTCACATTAGAATTCGTACGAGGAACCTTTTAAAAAAAAAAAAAAAACCATCGTCCAATGATAAAATGCATCGAAATAATCATCATTATCTCTAAATAATTTTGTTTTATTTTAACATACTACTTTGGGAAAATCGTCATCTTTTGTCAAATCTACTGTCGTGCATCGTTCTGGTCTCTCGACGTTATGATTGACAATTAAAGAATTACGCCTGGGTCCAGGCACGGCAAAATTTCCAGAATTTTTACACTGGCTAGCTGAAGTTATGGATACACCGGAGCCAATATTGAGTACAGGGGATTGACTCGTATTTTTCGGTTGAGATCTGGATCCTTGATTGGTTTGACGTCCAACGGCCGGAGTGACAGTGATCCCTGATAAAGAATATATCGCATAACTATTTTTCACTAATAAATAACATACATAAATAAATATTTTTTAAAAATAATTTTTTTTTTTTAAATTTTTTTATTCACCTCGGGATGCAAGTACGTCAGCCACTTTACTCGCTTCAACCGGATTTTTATGATGAGTTACGGTTATGCTATTTGGCACTTTAACAGTTGAATTTTGTACTTGGGGCCTCGCTAAAAAAAAAAAATTTGTTTTAAAATGAATAATTATCCAAAAAAAATTTTTTTTTATTAATTAATTCTCTCTCTCTCTCTCTCTCTCTCTCTCTCTCGATTTATACCCTGCAAAGGCGGATCCATACGTCGTTTGTGTTTAGGCGGTGACATTTCTTGCGATGAAGACAGTCTTGCAACATTTCTTTTGACACCTCTTCCTCTTTGACGTGGTACTCCTAAAGGCTGAAAAGGTTTTCCTTGAATTTGTGGTCGGGGTTGCAACATGGGCGGTCTGGGCATTTGTTGAATTGCCTGAAATTATAAATAAAATAAATTATTATTATTATTATTATTATTATTTTTTTTTTTAATGGTTATGAGTAGTAACCAACCTGCGGCGAATAATTTTGATTGTAAATATTAAAAGCTTGATAAAGTGGCGGCGGCGGAATCGCCGTTTGCATGTGTCCTAACGCATCGTAAGAGTTTTGCTGCTGAGGTGATATGTGTTGAGGAGAGAGTGAAACACCTGCAAGTCGATTTACAATTTTTTTTAATTAAGACACAATTACAAAACAATGACAATAATAATAATAATAATAATTTTTGTTAAAGATTACCTCCGTGATGTTGAGATTGTTGTTGGGAAGATTGCAAGTGATGTTGTGATATGACGTTTACTTGAGAAGGAGGATTTGGTATCCTTTGAACTTGCTGTGACAATTGTTCCACGGGTGCATGCATATCGTTACTATTTAAATCGTAAGGTTGAGCTGAAAAAAAATTATTATTATTATTATCATTAAGCCTTCCATTATAATAAATTACCTTTTAACTCACTTTGTCCCAGTCGATCCAATGATATGAATTCGGAATTTTCTTGCGATTGATGATCGCTCAAAAAATTGTGTAAAAAGTTAGAACTTGTCGTTTCGCCATCTTGTGTTGAATTTTCTTCCGTCATCATCGCATTCTGTTGTTGTTGTTGTTGTCCTCCATCGAGATTATTTGGCCAAAATAAATTTGGCTGTTCTTCTTGATGTAAGCTAAAAAAAAAAAAAAAATAGGCTTTTTTTTAAGAACCATGTCATCATCGTGCTGGATAATTTAATACATTTTAAAACCTTTACCGACCTTTCGTCTTCGTTACTCAAATTGGAAAAGGCTCCATTTTCAGGAGGATTCGGGGTGTTTTTTTCACAAATCTGTAACAAAAATAAAAAAAATCCCCCATCAACAAAATTGAATTTGAAACAAAAAAAAATTTTTTTTTTTTTTCTTTTCCGTCAGTGCTTTCCATCTTACATTTTCCGACTGTATAAAAGATTCATTTTCATCGGAATTTGAATTCATATTATTATAATCGATGTTATCATTTTCGCCATTTAAATTTACACATGATGATGATGATGATGACACGGACGAAGGTATTTCATTATTGATGCGACATTTTCCTTCTTTGCTTCCATTTTTCCCTTCAGATTGAAAAGCTGTGTAAAAAAAAAAAAAAAATACAAAAATTACATTTTTAAAAAAAAAAAAATTTTTTTCAAGTTAGTGAAAACCTTTCCACCCCAATTAATTATTTTTTTTTTTTTTTTAATCGAATCATCATTTTCCATTAATTATTTAATCCATTCATCAAATAATCTTCTAAATCATTAATTATAATATCGATTTCGAATTTTCCAATTAATAAATCATAAAAAAAATTTAAATAAAAATGAATTTATATATATTATATATTTGCATACTTTATAAAATTAATTCAATTTTCTTAGGACGAAAAAATAATAAAAAAGTAAAAATAAATTTCGTTAATATTATTATTATTATTATTATTATTATTATTACCCCCCTTTCCTTTAATAAATGCAATTTAAAAAAAAAAATTCTTAAATGTATGTAAATTTTTTAAAATGACAATTTACAAATAAATAAATAAAAAAATTAAATTAAATTAAATTAAATAAAACTCAACCGACAAGGAAATAAATATAATTAAAATTTTTTTTTTTTTTTTTTTTTTTTTTCATTCGAAATAATTAATAATAATAATAATATAAATTTATATATATATATTTATGACATATTTCGATTATCTAATTTAATAACGATCGATTTTTTTTAAATAATTTCGTTCGAATCAAATCTGACTACTTGAAAATCCACATAAATAAATAATTTTTTTTTTTATTATTTTTATTTGTTAAAAATTTTTTAGACATTATTGGCGAATAAAAATAAATATTCTCTCACCGATTTCAAAGCATTTTTAAAATTTTTTATTATTTTTAAAATTCGTAGACAATATTAGGATATATATATACCCCATGCAAGTTAAAAATTATAATTTTCATTCGTTTTCACAGACGATTTTTTAATTATTTTTTTAAAGCCAGCATTAATTACGGTAATAATATAATATAGTAATTGAGATAAAAAAAAAAATTTTTTTCTATGTAAACCCGGATGGATTTTCCTTACCAGGTAAATTCGATTGCTTGTCTTCAAAATCACACGAATTAGACCCTATTTTGGGTTCCCCCATTTTTTTTAAAAAATTTAAATTTTCCCTTTGTTCAATATTGGCTGCGAAAATAAGAAGAAAAGTTTGCTATAGTTAAAGTTATATTTTCGTAGAAAGTAAATAAGTAAAAATAATTTTGGAAAATTCATCAAAGACATTTTTACAAGCAAATCGTCTCCCCCCCCCCAAAAAAAAAAAACCGTAAATCGTAATTTTTTTTTTTTTGATTAATAATAATAAAATAAACAAATGATTGAAAAGTGTCAGTATGTAAAATGTTTAGTCTGTAAAAAAAAAAAAAAAAAAACTTCTTTTTTACATTGAGTAACTACTTCAAATTAAATAACTTGTTTTTTTTTTTTTTTTTATAAAATTTAAAAACGTTAAAGACAATTTCGAGGGCAAATCTATAAAAATAAATACTATATTCATTTTATCTAATAAAAACAAATATTTATATCAATTTCAACATGAATAATAATCTAATGATTTTAACTTGGTTATAAAAACTTTCGAATATGCCTTTTTGAATTACTATGGACAATTGAAATGTCATTCATTCATTCCATTCACACACACATTTACCAAAATTTAAAAAAAAAAAAAAATTAAGTTGGTAGCAATTAAAAATAATTTTCCTTACCGGAATTTTCTTCTCTGACTGCGTTATTTAAATTTTTCGTCAATCTTTCTAGAATATCAATTCCGGTCTCTCTGGAAACGTTTTCTTCTTCATCAGGTTGTTCTTTTAATGCCAAATTTTTCCCTCCTAAACTTGTTTCGTCTAATGAATTTCTCTTGGAAAACCTATTGTTTTTCTTTTCCCGGTATAAACTTTTCACTTTCTTCACAACCTTTTTTTGGTCACAATAAAGAGAATTATTTTCATTGCACACTTGCACACTATTATCCTCATCATCATATTTCACTTGACAAAATTGATTTATGCAACTATTTTTCATTTCTACATCATCGTGATTATCTAAAGATTTTGAACGTTTACTTTTTGATACTTTTTTACCATTTTCTGGTAGAAAATTAACAATTGTATTCTCTTTAGTTTTACCATTAATGGAAAATTCATACTCTTGATTTTTCAATTTTTTCAAGTGTATCAAATTTAACGGTTTTTTCTTTTTGGTCGAAATGGGTGATGTGTCTCCTGTCGACTGATTCGTTTCTAAATTTTCATTTAAATTATTCTTGGTTTTAGGTACGGTTCCGCTCAAACGGTCAAAAAGTATTCCTTTTTGATCATCGATTTTCAATTCGGAAAAATCTAATTCTTCCTTTTCGTTTTCCTGTCCATGTAAGTTGGATTTGGTTAATGCCTGAGAAAAGGTTTGCCTTTTACGACTAACAGAAACATTGGCGCCGAAGCGCTGTAAAAGGCTTGTTTCCTCCACTTCTGTTATTCCACTATTTTCTCGACTTTCATCTTTTTTGCATGCGTTTTCTCCATTACTTTCAAATTCAATTTTAGGCGTTTTGTTTTTCTTTGAGCAATTCTAAAAATTAAAAAGTAATTTATAATAAAATAAACACAAAAGTAAATTTTAAAAAAATTTATATACATATATTTCCAAACCTCTTTTTGTATAACTTGAAAGTGTTTGGCTCCTTGCTGTTTGACCACAGATATTTTTAAAGGAGGAACATGACTGAAATTTTTCGATCTTCTAGCAACACCACTATTAATTTTATAACTTTTCTGCTGAAGCTTTGTAAGTAAAGTTGAGCTGAGCTTTACAAGGCTAACAACAGGTTGCCTGACATGAAAAAAGTGATGATCTAAAAATGAAAAGTAGTTTGGAAATTGAAGATGACCACATGCTTCACAAACAAGTGAAACACCCGAGTCAGATTTGGCCGAAATATTCATGGTGATTCCCAAACATCCTGATTTTTTAGATATTTGGCCCGATATTCTTCAAAATTTTCTTTGTCTAAAATAAAAAAAAAAAACAAAAATTACATTTCATTAAGAATTTTTAATTGGCTAGCTTAACTTTAATAAAATTTTTTAAAAAGAAAAATACAACAGAATCCTTTTTCAAAATTGATAAAAAATAATTTTAACAAATGATGAGATGTAATTAATTTTGTTTGCATTCCAAAAAATTTTTATTTTACAAAAACTATCAAGAGAAAAATGAAAAATAGACAAAGTTTTTTTTTTTTTTTTTAAAAAAAATAATTAGAAATAAATAACTAACAATAAAATTTAATTATAAAGTTATTATACTTGTAAAAGTTTATTATTAATTATTAAAATAATTGCCATTGTGTTATCAATTCTTTTGACTTTTTGAAATTAAAACGAATATATAAGAAGAAACCATTAAGAATACAGACGATTGTTTATATAAGCCGTCAAATTTATTTATCTTAAATAATCTTTTTAAAAATTCACGACACACATTATTTAAATGAAAATTAATTTTTAAATAATAATCAAAAACATTTTTATCCATCATCGTGTCATTTTATAAATGAATAACTTCACTTGCCTGAAGTGAAAAAAAAAATTATCAAACAAATTGGCGGCTCCCCGAAATTGATAATTCGTTGTAGAGATTGTAATGAATACAAATAAATTTCATAAATTTACAATTTATAAAAAAATATTATAATAAAAAATTAAAATTTCAAACAAATACCACTGTAATACATAAATATATTTAAAATTAAATACTACATATCAACGACAAAATGGCGTCATTGGTATACAGACAAAAAAAATGTAAAAACTACAAGATTCAACGTATCGGCGACTGTAATTCGGAATTGATCGTATATATTCGACCAACTTCGTCTGTATAATATCAATAACGTTAGATTCTATGCCAGAATATAATGATAACTTTTTGTAGATTTTTGGTTTCTGTCTAAAACTAAGCAAAAACAGTGACGTAACTTTATAGGCCTAATACAAACATTTCTTTTTTTTTTAAATTCGTTTTAATTTATTTCTATTTATTCATCGTTATTTTTACATAATTTCAGTTTTTTTTTATGTTTATTTTACGATGTTTTCTTCTACTTTATATTTTTTCCTTTTCAATAGTAATAATCTTTTTTAAAAATAAAAAAAAATTTCCTATCGCTAACGAATGTTTAGAAAATAAATGTTATTATTTTAAATAAATTTTTCTTATTTAAAACGTCACTAAATCAATAAATATATAATTTCTGTATAAATAATGTACAGTATATTTTCTGTATGTATTTTTACAGTAAAATGTACCTGTAATTGCAATTATATTATCTTCATTCTATTTATTTTAAAAACTAAAACTGTAAAACAGTATAAAATTTAAATTTTAATAAAAAGAGTCCATATTCAAATGTAATACAGTAGTGGCAGCACATCTAAGCCATAACATTAAAAAAAATGGATAAAAGCTTGCCTGCAGCAAAGTTCATGACGGAATAGTTTGTTAACAAAAGGTTAATATAATTACTTATAAATAAAATATGATACAATTTATCCGAGTAAATGTAAAAGTAATTTTAAAAATTACTCTGAGAGTAACAAATAAAATTTTTTCCTTTTTGCCAACCTAATTGCCAACATAATTCCACAGCCTGCTAGAATTTGAAATTATCTAAAATTCAGCAAAATAAATGCATCAAGTCTAACGACCGAATGATTCCAGTCACGATTTATTTCTTGTTTAATTCAAAATATAAAAAAATTAATTTTTTAATCAAGTTATTATGGTAACGTAAATTCAACTTACATTGTAAAAAAAAAAAAAAAAAATATGGAAGCTTGTCATTATTTGATATCCTATATAAATTCAGGTTTATTTATCTGTCGTAGAACCTTTTTACTCCTTGAAAAAAAAGATTTAATTTTAAAAAATTTAATAAAATTCAAACTGGATTTTCATTTCTGTTCTACTTTATCCTAAAGATGCAAATTTAAAAAAACAAAACAACTTAAACAAACTTAAAAAGTTTCAGCATCCATAAAAGTTATGAATTTTTTTATCAAATTAACAACAACGCACATGTAACTTAAGTATTTTAAAAGTAACATCAATTTAAAATATTATTAAATACATAAAATCAATTAAAAATTTACCTGAAATGAAAATATTGATTATTTATTAAAAAAAAACATAGTTACGGTACTGAATTATATGAACAATATTTAAATTTATCAAATTTTTTTTTTTTTGCACTAAAAAAAATTAATTTGTGCAAAATTAATTTATCACAACGTTTTTAATAATAAACATTTAATTGTTTTTTAATGTATAATAATAAAGATATTATTGCATATTAAAAAAAAAATTATCTTATTTAAAATTATTATAAAATATTAAAAAACAAAATGGCCGTTTACATAAAATCAATACTCCCGGTAAAAAACATTTTTTTTTACAATTAAAACAACGTCATGTAATAATTAATTACTACTATATTCGATTCGTGAAAGATTTATTAACAATTTTTTAAACAAGGAGGGAGGGGCGGGGGAAATTTAATTTATTCATTTTATTTTTTTAATTTTAAAAGGTTTAATAATAATAAAATTATTTTGTTTATAAAAAAAAAAAAAAAACAGAATCAAGGACGGTTTTTTTTTTTTGCTTTCAAGTACTAATTAAAATAACATTTATAACAAAAATTTTTTTAATTTACATTCATATGTAAAAACATATGTTTTGAAAAAAAAAACGTTTTTTTTTTTGTTTTCAAACTGCCATAATAATTGCACCCCTTTTTATTGTCTTTTATAATATTATTTAATTGTGATAAAAAATAAATAAATTCTAACAAAAAAAAAACAAATTTTTATTGAATTCTCTTAAAATGAAAGAAAAAACAAAATGGCGTTGAAGTAAAATTTTTTTACGATTGTCATGTAATTATTTTTTTTTTAAAATTAATTAAAAGTAATAATTTATGATATGATAATATGTTGCATCTTTTCAATTAACCGACAAACAACAAACTACAACAAAAAATGATTGAAATTCATTTGAATTTAAGTTTGTTTTTTATTTGATTGTGATTAACCATAATATTTTTAACTGAGTTGTTTTGGGGTTAAATTTTTTAAAAATGGTTCACAAATTTTTTTTTTTTTTTTTTTTTATTGGAATAACCAAAGTAAACTTACCTATCTAACCCTCTTTTCTTTCTTTCTTTGTTTAATATAAGTTTATAGCATGCCTTAATGTTTAAGTCAAGTGGGTTAGATTTTATAGCACTTTGATTCTCTCTCTCTCTCTCATTTTATGTTTAACTAATAAAAACAAGATGGCCTTGGAAAAAAAAAAAAAAAAAAAAAAAAAAAATTTTTTTTCTTGGGATAAAAAGACTTGTTATGCAGTAGAGTTAAATATAAACATTTAAATGGTAAAAAAAAATTATTATTATTAATAAATGCATTTAAATAAATAAATAAATTAAAAACCATTAGAAATTACATTTGAAATTAATTTAATACAACAAATTTCAATTATAAAAATGAATGCAGAGAATAATTGTGGTGATGGTAAAAAAAAAAAAAAATACAATGTTGCACTTATATGTAAACAATATTAAAAAAAAAAAAAAGTTTATTTATTATTAATAACCAAACAAACTTAATAAATTTTTATTAATTAATTTTATTTAAAAAAAGTGTCAGTAAACACTAACATGCACAAACAATAAAAGAAAAAAAGTATAACTAAATATTTTAAACACAAATTTAAATTTTAGACAAGTAATTTTAGAAAAGTAATTAATAATAATAATACTAATACTAATAATAATAATAATAATAATAATAATAATAATAATAATAATAATATAATAATAAAGTCTACAATTTGTTTTCACTGGAAATTTTTTAAAATTTGTCAAACCCCCCCATCATTGATTTTAACTCAAAATTGTGAGAAAAAAAAATTTTTTTTAAAATTTATTATATAATCCATAACCGATATAACAACAACAACAACAACAATAATAATAATAATAATAATATTAATAATAACAATCGATTTACTATAAATAAAATTTAAAATCGATAAAATCAATAATTAAATTTTTATTTTGCCATTTAAAATTTTTTTTTTTTTATTATTATTTCCTCACGGGACTAATAAAAATTTTAATTTTAATTAATTAATCGATAGAATTTTAGTTATTTAATAGGTTGAATTAATAATAATAATAATAATAATAATAATAATAATAATAATAATAATAATAATAATAATAATTTTTAAATAATGGTACAAGATGCTAAAGATTAACAATTGTTCGTATTATTAGAATTTTGAAATAAATAAAATAAATTTTTTTTTTTTTTTTAAATAACCAAAACTAAATAATTTGATATAAAATAATAATAATAATAATATATAGTGACACAAATTATTAAATATATATGTATATATGTAAAAAATTTAAATTTAAATTAAATAAGAGATTTGTGTTTCACGATTTTTAAATTAAAAAATAAATAAATAAATGACGTCATTAAATTAATTTTTTTCTTTTTAAATAAAAAATCATTTTAATAAATGATAAATTAAAAAATATATATATATACATATATACATTAATTAAATGTAAATGATTTTTTATTATGAAAATTAAAAAAAAAAAAATAATGATATTGATGATGATAATATGCATTTAAATGAAAATGATTAAGTTGAAAACGTTAAACCGAGTAAAATTAATTTCCCGCCAAAAATAAAATTTTTTTTTTTAGCACAAGTTTTTATTAAAAAAAAAAATTTATTAACTCAAATCGTATAACGATATAAAAAATATAATATCTGATGGATTATTATTAATAATTAATAAAAGATGGATTCCTTTCCTATTACAAATTAATAATAATAATAATAATAAACGTCATATACATGT